TCTCTCTCTCCTCTTTCACCATTTCGCTCCTATTGACTCGTATTTTGTGCAAAACTTCTCGGCCAATTTTCCTTAACTATACCTATTAAGATAAGTTGTGCGTCTTTAGAAAAGTGCTACTCTCTCCTGGATCTACTGAAATATGCTTTATTACATCATGGGGAAATTTAATTCATATACATGCTATTAATAGAGTAAGTGGAAATGCTGCATTCTCAATCCTTTATGTAAAATGCGACAATGTTTATGAATTCTGCGACTAATCAATGGATTTTATGCTGCTTTTCTTGTCCAGATTAACAACGTTTCACAACCACTTTTTAGTGCGATTGTAATCTCTGCATGTTAAAAGTTATAAGTGCAAATCTTTATGAATTTCCTCAGTTTGCGTCTCTCTTGCCATGGAGTGAGGCAAACACCTTCTCTTCGTCCGAAGGAAGCCCATGGCAAGGAGGCAAAAAAAGAGACCATTGCCCTGCTTTATTTCTTGCCTCTCTTCGTTATCAGCATCTCTCACTTCATCTCTGCCAGCGTCTCTCGCGTCCCACTTGGAACTGAAACATGAATCTCCAATTTTATTGCCACAATGGAGTGTGGAAGTTGAATAAGAAGCGAGCGCTTGCGAAAAGTGGCTGCTCCATGGCACAAGACACAGTTCATTGCACTCCGGCGTGGAGTCCAAGAAGCCAGGCGAGTTTGCGGCTTAAAGCGCCAAAGTAGAACGCGCCGAGATCAACGGTGTTTGGGGAGCTGTAATGACGGGTGATACTGAAGTAAAATGCCCATTTAGACGTGGGCCGCGCCGGGGGACAAGCTGGGCAGGAGGAGGTTCTCTCAATTCTGCACTGTGCCGAGGAGAATGCAATTTTCTCTGAGCGAAGGAGTGTGTGTCTGTGTGTGTTGTACCTACAATGGGCATAAACTATTAATTAAAACCATTCATCCGTCGCACGTGGCTGCATTTTTACACGATTGACAGCCAAAGTGCATCAAATCAACTGCAATTGCTCTCGGATTAGGAGTTGAACTCTTGCCATGATGGAGTTCCTCCCGTGAAACAATGGCTGCAATTGAAGGTGGGAAAAAAAACTCCCTTCAGATTCCCCTGAGAAGACTGACTCTTTTGTCCACAATGTATATAGAAGCAGAGAGGAGAAAAAAGGGCCATGATGCTGAGCAAGAGAAGAACGTGTGCTGCCCCTTGAACAAATATTGACAAGACGACGTGTTTGAACTCATTTATGTAAATGAATCAGCAAAAGACCACAAAAGCCGCAGAAGTCAAAAAGTGAAACGGCAGCAGCTCCGAATGGAGACCAATTCGTATCCATTCGATACGCTCCGTCGGTCACTTTGGCGACCGCGAGGATCGATTCTTGTGCCCACGAGAAATCCATCAAATGATGTGGCTCTTTTGCCGTCGAATTTCGTGCTGGGCCTGCCTCCAAAACAGCCTCTCTGCTCACCGACAGGTTTTCTTCAATCATGAAATTTTCACTGAAGATTTCATATCTGCAAAAAAGAATGACTTTTTCCTAATTAAACTCATGGAGAATTTTGCACAAGAATCTTTATATGACAGACTCATTAAGTGGAGTTTCTCAGAATACGCGCTCTGCATTTTCACCATCTCGAAGGCGTTTTCTTATGCGCGCGGCAAAGAACAGCAACTTTTAATTGGAATATGTTGGGAGCCGAGTACAATATATAGTGAGAAATATTCACAAAAGCTCCCTCTGTGGTGGGTAGAGAAATAATTTCCGCCACTCTTAACAGTTTTAATTGGCAATTAATGACAAGGAGTGAGAGTCGCACTCACTGTGAAAATATGGCAAATTTTTCGAAAAATTTCCCCATCAAGAATATAGCAAAAGCTCTCGAGTTCCATGGGCGGAAAATGGGTGATTATGAAGAGACCACAGGCAGATGATTCAGTCAATGTAATTAATTTACACACCACATTCTCTCCTCAAGCAGTGCTTTCGACATTGCCTCCACTTGGATTTCATGTAATATCTCTAATGGATTTTTTCCTCATCACTTTCCATCGCACAAAAACTCATCTGAGAAACTATTGGACTACATTTCGATGGGGACTAATTACACGCGAGAGGGCACGATTCTGGAGGACCGCAAAGAGATTCTCTTGGATCATGCCAGAGATGAGGAAAAAACTCATCGCGCTACTGATGAAGATGAATTGAAAATGAAGAAATAAACCAATTACAGGCCCTGAAGATGTCGATGAAAAGAATTCACCAATCACGGACATGAAGATGGGGCTTTAATATGTGATCTAATGACTTAACAAGTTTTCTTAAATTACATCCACTGCGCTCACAATTTTCTTTTCTCGCTGACAAAAAGCAGGACTCAATTCTTGGGATTGATCTTGCATGGCGTAAGAAATCTATGATATTTTCTACACGCGATGGTCATTAGATGTTCCTCACCGCGACCCTGAACAACACGTGAGTCTCATTCTTCACGGGCGGAAATTTCACCCGACCAATCATCCAACGACAGAGATTTATACAGTGATTCCTCATAAACTCATTAGACTTCTTCTGAGTGGCTTTTTTCCTTCTCATGACCAAATTTTCCACTCTCTGATTACACTTCCCATGATGACGATACCAAATTGTCACTTGCCACATAAATCTATCAGCAAACGCTTTCATCATTCATCGCACCACGAGTGAGTGCAGTATTTACTCTCTAGCGCGGTTTTGAGGGTTGGATTTATTGTGTCAGTTTACTAGAGTAACAGAATTTAAAATGAACTTTAAATTTTATATTGTGTACTCTGCGTATTCCAAATGCTGTAAAATTGACGACTAAACAATGAGCAGTTTCCTTGTAAATATACTACATTGTTCCACTGCAACAGATTTGTTTAAAAACTTATCCTTCCTAATCATATAGAAAAAAAGAACTGGCGATGAAAACACAAAGCAGTATTCAAATTAGAAATCTGGCAAATACTTTTAAGCGTCGACAATTGAGAAATCCACTCTATTCTCGCCTTCATCATAGAAAATGATCCATTCCGGAGATATGAAGTGCAACCGCACAGTTTTTTCTTTGTACCTCGAAACACGGGGAACACTATAAAATTATTTACGAGACATGTGATGAAAAATGACTTGGCCAGGAGGGGAAGAATGACGATGGAGAAAAAGAAGAGTTGCGGTGCTTCAGGAGAAAAATTTCACCATCTCCACTACATTAATTTAATATCTCTCTTCTCTCGACGATGGCCCAGGAATTTATGGTTGTACGTACACATCACCACGAGTCTGGAGTGGAGTTGGAAAAACCATCGCATTTTCCCTTTGATAGAATCAAAATCAGAGAGAGAGAGAGAAAGAGAATTTGGATTTTAGTTCGCGCGCTGTATTTATTTATCTCTCCAGTCAGTGAAACACTGAACAGCAGTTCGTAAACCCCATTGACTTCTCAAAACATATAAATTTCCGGACATGTCGACTTCTTATAGACTCAGAACACACACGGCGACTTCTGGGATTAATTGCTTGAGAAAAGAATTGACGTGTTTATTTGTAGTGAGGAGCATCGCGCTCGAAATGAACTCGAGAGGAAATCTCAATTGTTGATCGTCTTGCGAGCGCCGAGGCTATTTTCACGTCCGGGAAAATTCAACAGAACCCAAACAGTGAGGAGTGCGCATTAGCATACGCTCCCATTCACGATGCCAACATGCATTATCCGCGTCTTTTGCACGCTAAAGAGGCTGCCAAGTGGCATTTTATTGCCAGAATTTAGCTCCTATATTGCCACATTTTTGAAAATGACCAGGCCAGAACAACCCTTTTCTTCATGCAATACATCATCTTCCCACTTCTGACACCATATATTGTTACGTAAAGTTTAAAATAAGATCTTTTCTCAGTTCGATGCCCCATTGCGTTGAATTTCCCCCATTCTGTGACTTGCATTAAATTGAAAGAATCAGTGTCTGCTGTGTTACAAAATGTAAACACAAGAGATCTACATACAATTGAGCAAGAAGATGCTCAATCAGCGCTTCGCTGGGCTACAAAATTCCCCACATGGTTGAATTATTTCGGGGTTTGGCACACCCAATTCCCATGCAAATGATCCCAGACAAAGGGAACCATATCGTCGCTGATGGATCAATTGAAATTGGGTTATTTGACCATCCGCACGAGGTGACAATGGACTCTTCAATGCACCGATTTCCATGGAGCAAATTGTCCCTTGAGCCTTTGAAAGCGCCGAGAAAAAAGCACTTCAAGCTGCTCCGCTTTCCACGCAAATAAGGCCGGGAGTAAGAGAAAGGCGTGCTAAAATAAGCTGGATGAGGTGGTTTCAGGCGAGAGCTTTGCGCTTTCGGCCACGATTGGCAAATACACTAAGTGGATGAGGAATGTGTACACACACCTCCGCTGCAACTCAACCGTGGGTGAGCTCAAAGACCTGAAGAGCATTTTGAAAGGACTCTTCAATAATAAAGCATGATCCAATTGCGTTAATTAGAGAAAAATCGCATATTTCGCGGAATTCCTCTAAAACCAATGGTATTTAGGGCTGAAAAGTTTGAAGCATTTAAATGAATAACGTATGAAGTATTTCAGCCATGCCAAGGGAGGGTAACCTAAATCTGAGCGCATTTACTTCCTTCATGATGAACCTCTTAAAGAAAAGTGCAGAGATATTATTGGTTTCAAAAGAAGACATAAATTTTTTTGCGCACTTTCTTTTCTACGCATTTACCTACTGGATAAAATTACACTTAGCATCAGAATTTCTCCGCCTTGAAAATCCCGATCAATCAATAGTCAATGAAAAGGGTGGAATTTGAATTATTGGAATAATTCAGATCATTGCAATCCCAGATTTGATTGAACAGATTCTCTCTCCCTCTCTTTTTCTTTCTCAATGAATAAATCTCCATGGCATTCTGTTAAGCATTTTGCGAATTACCATACTAAACGCCCTGGTTTTCTCTTCCTCAGACTACCCACGCGTGGAGGTTGGTCCGGAAAATCCCTTACGGGTGGAGCGCGACTCAACGGCGAAACTTGAGTGCTTTGTGGATGCCAAGCCCAAAGTGAGCACAGTACGATGGACGCGAAATGGCAGATTTATCAGCTCCTCGATGACTCACACGATTCACCGAGTGTCTGTGCAGGACGCTGGAAAATACGCCTGCTCAGCGGACAATGGCTTAGGACGCGTCGGCGAGCAGGAGATGATTCTGGACGTTCTGTATCCGCCAGTTGTGGTGATTGAGTCCAAGACACGCGAGGCTGAGGAGCGCGAGACTGTCAACATTCGCTGCAATGTGACTTCCAATCCGCCCCCAGTGACAATCGAGTGGCTGAAGGAGGGCAGTCCTGAGTTCAGATTCACCGGCGATATACTCACGTTGAGGGATGTAAAAGCTGAGAATGCAGGAACTTACATTTGCCGAGCGGTCAACATTTTGATGCCACATGGCGGGAAGCGACTCGAGAGGATCGGAAATGCAACGGTGGCTCTTCTAGTTCGTCACCGACCCGGACGGGCATTTATCACGCCCAGCAAGCCAGTGGTGCACGTTGGAAATGGCGTCACTCTCACGTGCAGCGCCAATCCGCCAGGATGGCCTGTACCGCAGTTCCGCTGGTTCCGCGACATCGAAGGAGAAGTCTCGCCACAAACTGTCCTCGCGCAGGGCTCTCAGTACGTCATCCCAAGAGCGCATCTTGGCAGCGAGGGCAGATATCACTGCCACGCCGCCAATGAGCTTGGACATGGAGACATGGCCACAATTGTCCTGGAAGTTCATCAACCGCCGCAATTCTTGGCCAAGCTGCAACAGCACATGACAAAGCGCGTTGGAGACTACAACTACAACGTGACGTGCAGTGCCAAGGGAAAGCCCAGACCCGAGATCATCTGGCTGAAGAACGGCAAGGAGATCACACCTGAACCCAACTTGTACGAAGTTATGACAGATCCAGTTGAGGGTCCCAATGGAATGGTCACCGTTCACAGCACGCTAAGGTGAGACTCTAATTCCCGAAGCGTGAATCATTGTCTGCTTTTTATGAATTATTAATGATCCCACATGAGTTTGCTCAGTCGCGGAATTTCATTCTGGTCTGATGTTATCGATAAAGTGATCACATTTCAAGAATCATAGCAATTAGTAGAGAATGTTTGTGAGAATTTAGTGATTTTGTGAGAAAAAGAAGTCAAAAGAATATTCCTTAACTTTGTTCCAGATTCCATGGACGATCACGACCCAATGAGAACCAACTGATCCCGGGTGATCGTGGTCTGTACACGTGTTTGTTTGAGAATGAAGTCAGCACGGCCAATTCTAGCATGCATCTGCGCATTGAGCACGAACCCATCGTTCTTCACCAATACAATAAGGTGGCATATGACATCAGGGAGACGGCTGAGGTGGTGTGCAAGGTTCAGGCTTATCCCAAACCCGAATTCCAGTGGCAATTCTCAAATCATCCCGCCCCGCTCTCCATGTCTGCCGATGGACACTATGAGATCAACACCACAACGGACAATAACGATGTGTACACTTCGGTCCTGAAGATCCATAGACTCGGTCATGAGGACTATGGCGATTATCACTGCCGCGTGGCGAATTCCTTGGAAACCATCCGCGTGACAATCAGACTGCAGCCCAAAGGCCCACCTGAGAAGCCCATCAATCTCCAGGCGGCGGACGTTGGCCCGAACTACGCCAGTCTCTTGTGGGATCCCGGCTTCGATGGTGGCCTCAGCAATACCAAGTTCTTCGTGTCGTACAGGAAGGTTGCCGCGGTTCAGGATGATCAGGTAATGGGCGATTGCGGCTCCATGGCGAGCAGTTCATCTGACTGGATGGAATTTGACTGCCATCGCGACATCCCGTGCAGTGTGACACCTCTGGAGCAGCACCAGCGCTATGTCTTCAAGGTAAGTTCACATAAAGTGACAAGAAGTTGAACAATGAGTCAATTACTCAAACTCCTAGCGAGCCATGCAATCCAATTCATTTCTGTGTTGTGTTTGAAAACAGGTGAAAGCACTCAACACGAAGGGAAACTCAGAGTACTCGAACGAAATTACAACGACCACGAAAGTGAGCAAAATCCCACCTCCTCTTCACGTCACCTTCGACCCCAACACACGCGTCTTGACCATCAACGTGGGCGCCACGTGCTTGTCAGTCTCTGCCATCGTGGAGTCAGTTGTTAATGGGGACACGCTGCAGCCGGCCTGGCAGGTTGTCGAAAACATCCCACTGCAAGTCTCTGGGAGCGCTCCCACGTACAAAGAGACAGTTATTGAACATCTAGTGACGCCTAGAAGAAGCACAACAGGCAGGTCCTTGGGAGGAGGCGGAATGTCTGGTGACGATGATCTACCTCTGGCGCTCAGCGACGAGTTTCAGCCCAAAGTGAGAGTGAAGCTGTGTCTGAGGCAAGATTTTGAGCACTGCGGAGATTACACTGAAGCCAAAAGTAAGTAGAAGGCTTAATTTTCGTCAGATTATATTGGGTTCTCAAGCAAAATACACACAGAGTGCTTATCAATGTCCTTTCCATTATTAGTTGGACCATCCTACATCGAACAGCAAACTGCCATTGCCACTCCAACATTAATTGCCATCATCGTTTCCTGCGTGGTATTCGCACTGTTTGTGGGTCTTCTGCTCATGTTCTGTCGCTGCAAGAGGAATCAGTCGAAGAAGAGCGCCGCAGCGAAGGATTACGAAATGGACTCTGTCCGTCCGTCAATCGTGGCTCAGCAGAATCAGGCGCCGCCACCGTATTATCCAGCCAGTGGGCTTGAAAACAAAGCCTTAGAGCACTCGATGGACTTGGCCCTGGCCATGGAGGACCAGAAGAACGCTGTATACGCGACACAGAATGGCTACGGCTACCATCCCAATGCCGGTCTTCAGGTTCCAGGACACACAATTCCAGGCAATGAATGTAAGTTTTGGGTAGAATAATATTTCCTAATGAAGGAGTGAATTTATAGTGAGCACATCGCGGAAAATCCCTGAATTGCTGAACGAATTAAACTTTGTAAGCTGGAAATTTCAAATATGCTTCGAGCTTAGCGAATTTCACACGTGAATTACAACCAATGTAATCTCAATGGCAAATGAGAGGGGATTTTCCGCTGTTTGGACTCGAGATGAGCGACAAGTTGTGGCTAAAAATGGGTTAATTTCTTCTCACACATGCTTCTTGCTATGAAACGCACTTAAATGCCCAGGACTAGGTAGCGCACCTCTCCATTCGACAGGTAAAGAGAGAGCACATTGGCAAATAAATTCCTGTTTATAGTGCCGATGTAGAGACGTTTACTGCATGCTGAATTTTAATTGTGGCCCATGTGAATTCTCAAAGTGGAGCATAAATTGCAAATTATTGCATACATAATCCACACCGGCGACCCAAAATAAATAATCCAACCAAATTGAGTTTCCGCTTTCCGCCCACGCAACGAAGAAACGAGCGAAAATTCACCCTGGGAATCGAGATGGGGATTGAAAGTTGTTAAAGGAGACTTTTTATAATGCATGCAATTCCGGAAATTGACCACGATTATCCATTCTGAATGCCAGACTAGCCACTGGTAGCTCTGTGGCAGTCATTCAAGGGCTCCGTGACCATTTTCTTCCTGCTTTTCTCATCCCGAGACATTATGCAAGAGGATCCACGCGTGCAATAAAATGTTACATGAAATATTCCCACAACACTGCAAAAAAGAGCCGAATTTGACTGATTTTCAATTACATTGATTGTTAATTAACAATTTTTCCGCATATTCAGTGTGGAAAACGAGGTATTTTGTATAAAATTTGTTGCACAATTCATTGGAAATTTAATCAACGCCTAATTGGGAAAATTCATATGGTTTTCACATGCAGTTTTTGCAGTCTCAAATTAGCTTTATTATTTATTTTATAGAATATCATTTATCCTGGTAATTGTTGATCATTGGAAATAGTATGTGGCAACATATTTTATTCCTTTAATTTTCGATGAAAGAGGACTTTGGAATTCAAGTATCATGATTTCGTAAAATAAAGATTATTTCTCTCTCTTTGTGAATTTTAGGACCTTCAATAATTTTGTGTCGAATTTCATAAAGGAAATAGTAGAGCATTGTTAGTTTAATAGATTGCAAAAGCTCCTTGTTCTGCAACCTGAAAATACAATTGTTTCCTCTTAGGAATTAAGCATGAAGCCTTTCGCAGTAACTTTCCCCTTTTGGATACCTGAAATTTTCACCCAAATCCCCTCAATTTCTGTCGCTGCAGTGGCACATGTGTTCTCTGGTCCGGGATCCAGGTCTCCAGAGCTTCGGAGGAAGTTCAGAGGAAAGGGAGAAGTCCAATTTAGAAGTACCTCGAATGGGACGAGACGATGGTCATGTTCTTGCTGGGTTGGGAACTCTCGACCACATCGACTTAGAGTCTGTTACGTGAACAATTCATGGCAGACAAAGTCTCCCGGGTCCGCATGGGCGTAGCGAGATTTTAAAGAAATCTTAAAGACGCCGAGAATAGAAAAAAAACACTAAGTAATGAATCATTAGCACAACTGTGTATATAGAATTAAACCTGCTTCTGCGAAATATTTTTCTAGGCTATTCAATTGAATTAGGGGTATTAGAGATTTAAACATTATATTCCATGCACAAAATATTTCAGTTTGTTGGATTAGCTGAGAAATAATCTGAAAAAACTGCAAAATGTTTTGTCTAGACTGCAAGTGCTCCACTTTTCCTCTACTTCCCTACGTCCTTGCAATTCCAACATCCCGAAACTATATAGTCTCGAGGCTTTGTCTGGACTGGAAGGAAGAAAGAGTGAAAAGTGAAAAAGTTCATTTGAGCCTTTTTCCTGCGATTCTCTCAAGTGTTCGCCTATTTTCCCTTTCCACCACAGAAGGGCTTAGTCAGCCCTTTGGCACCTTCTCCTCTCCATCTTGGCAGCGGGCGGAGAGCACTATGTAAACTGCAGCTTGTGGTTTCCTACAGAAATTTATGCCATCTCGCATCCCCGATTCTGAGGGAAGGGCAAAGCAAGACACCACAAACACACACACAAGAGAGAATGCATCTCCCATTCCGCCCAATTGTGTGACTAAACTCCACAATGTGTCCCTGGGTTATGCTGCACAGTTCACACGGAGATCCAGTAAGATAGTGCAGCATTTTTTCCTGAGTGGAGCGAGCGAAATTCCCACGTGCCCGGGATAAGAGATTCGCGGAAAAATGTCCTGGCACACATGAAAAGTCTCCCTTGCTTGTACACAAATATTTGTCCTCTGCAAACTGACTCGCTCTCAGTAGTTTTAAACTCACGCTGCTCTTTTTGCCTCATGCAGGGGTGAACATCGGCTACATGGACAACAGCTATTCCAACTCCAACAACGGCGGCAGCGTCAACTCCCAGGACTCACTGTGGCAGATGAAGATGAGCGCGGCGGCCAGCAATACTGCCAATCTTGTGCCGTCGCACAACTTTGTCGAGCGTCAGCCGTCCTACGGTTACGATCCGCTCACACATGGCGGCTATGGCGCCGTGGACGATTATGCGCCGTACCCACACTTGACGACCACTCCCAGCCAGCACGGCGACGACTACCACAATGTCCGCAACAGCCAGAACCCGTCGCGGCAGGAGTACTGCAGCGATCCCTACGCGGCGGTGCACAAGCCAAAGAAGCGACTAGATCAGCACTTAGGTAGGTCTTTTCCCTGGGATAAACCCCGTGAATATAAGAATGCGTTTAGAATACTGAAATCAAAGTTTTGATCCTTGATAGGAATTTCTGTATTTTTAACGTCAAAACTTGACTAACCTCATTGGAAAGCCCCTCATTAAGTCCAATGATTATAATGAGTATCACAAATTTTATAAGCTCGTATCATGTAATACAGGCTTTTAATTGTGACCCACATTTGTCGCGAAATGTTGTGAAATATCATAAAGAGCATTGGAAATCAATATTGTAAATTAATTCATGAGAGCAAGTGAATAAATTATGCTTATTTTAATACCAATAATATCATTGGGTCACCTCTTCGCCAATATGTGAAATTATTTATTAACTGGCACAAATTACATTTCACTATAGGTAACATCATTATTATGCAACAGCCAAACATAAAAAGAATGATGTAAAATGAGATGTTTTCCATGAATGCTAATTTCAACTCAAGTTTTTACTGCACACTTGCATTCAATTCTTTGAAAGGCTTGGGAAAATGTCGAGCATTGAAAATCTGTTAAAACAACAAACGTTTTCTTAAGGTACTCCTAAAGTTCATGTTTTACATGAATCCACGAACATTTCAGGAAAATGTCATTCCTCTGGATGTACCTCGAATATAATTATGGTCGGTAACCTAGGAAACTCTAATGTTCTTGTTTTTCTTCCAGACTCACCCTATCATGACGTGAGTGGTCTGCCGGATCCGTACATGGAACAGATGGAGCCGGAGGACGCGAAGCCGCCTCCGCAGCACATGTCGCTGAGCTATGACGAGAGCCTGGAGAGTGGCTACTCGACGCCCAACTCGCGGAATCGCCGTGTGATCCGGGAGATAATTGTCTGAGACACGCCAAGGGTGCGTTTTGCGGACGGCACGTGCCTGTAACGGCTGATCGGTGGCCCCATCCGGACGCCCTCGCTGGACTGAAACGCACTGGAGGGCGGATGACAATGGCCTAATTGCTACGTTCGCAAAACTGTGCCCTTAGTGACAAAGTGAAAGAAGAGAAACGAAGGAGAAGAAAAACTGTGGACAGCTTGTAGTTTAAAAACGCAAAAGGACGTGAAAGTGCTGCAATCTTGCATAGAGACATGTTGACAACAGCTCAACACAAAAATCATGAAGATTTGATAATGATTTAGTATTTTTTAAGAAATTTCCCCTCTCTTTTAGTTAAGACAATATTTTTACTGAGACGTGAGACGATTGGAAGGAAAAGAGAAATTGAATTAGATAATATTGTACAAATATTTCTGCCCGCCGTGATGGTTTTTTATGTTTTTTTATAACTACTTTTAAAAGAAATTGCAAGTGAGAGAAAATTTTGAGGAAAAAATCCGAATATCCAATGAGCAATAGTGATAAGGAAGAAATCTGTTGAATCTCTCACGTAATTGCCATGATATTGACTAAGTTATTGATATGTTTTCTTCTAAGATATCTTGTTTAATTGTCTCTACTTATGTTAATTGGCCGCCTCTTTAGCCTCTTTATTTAATTCACAATTTAGCACATTCTTGACAAGGAGTGTGTGAAAAATCTGAAAAAACACCAATAAGTGTATTTGTACATAGAGAAAACTTGTAAGGCTACTTATAAGGACAAAAAAACGCGAAAAAGGGTATTAAAAAAGAGTATCGGAAGTATGAGAAAAGCCATTAAATCCTCTCAAGAAAACTCCCTTCTTTTGCTCAACTCAACAGTAAATATTGTTGAGAGAAAAATTCATTTCTTATCGTATTTCCCCCTCTCAGTCCGAATTTCCCACCCACTTTCCAGTCCGATCCCTCTTACCATCTCCGGATGATTCTGCTATGAGAAACTTGCGAGCGAGAAGCTGTAATTGTAACGATGAATTGTGGTATTGTTAGGAAAGTGTCTATCTCTCCGTGGCTCATTCTTCATCATGGAATGAAATCATATTTATCAGCGGAAAAGCACACACACAGATATGAAATATTGAATGCACGCCTTTATGTGATAACATAGAGAATTTTTCTTCATGGACAAGAGAGCACTTTTGTAAAAGCTTTCACCGTTTCATAAGAGAGTTTCAAGCAAACACAGTGGAGACACGCGTCCAGAGACACGAACCATTTTGCACTCAAAGAAAAGCAAGAGTCATTATTTCAAGTCATTCATCATTTCACTATTTTCTCATCTTCGCTTTGTGTACAGAAAATGATAGAGATTTCACGTCGATATAGTGCCAAATCGCATTTTCAACAATTTGTTTATCCAAATAGATATTAAATGATTTTGATGATAGAACAAAAGTGGGATAGTTTTTAAAGTGCATTAGAGAATCATTTATAGATTCTCTGGGATAATTTTTACGTATTATATTATGCTTATTTTATAAGAATTATTATGCTTCGAATGTAATTGTTGATTATTTCAATTTCTTCTCTTTAAATTGTTTTTTTTTCTGCGGCAATTGTACTTAAAGAATAATGAAAAACAAGTCCAACATGAGTAACTGAGCTTAGCAGAGGGAATATTTGCTCAAGGGACATTGAAAGTGTGCTTCTTCACTCCAAACTCTGGACTTTATCAACCAAATCGATCAAATTGTGGCGCTACTCAACACTGAACAGCTGGAAAATTGTAATATAGTAAATCATAATAGGTATAATAGTATATTTTTTATAAGCTATGATCTCGCACAAATTTCATTTGGGCCTCCAAATCAACATTTCGAAGCACACGCGCTCTCAATCCGTCATCTTTTTCCGCAAAAATCTAATAAATTTTGTGTCCATAATGATGGTGATTTATATATGGATAAATATAGCGTATATATTTTTCAGAGAAGGGGTAAAAAAAGAGATCTAAATGTTACTTGAGACAGAGCAAAAAATGTTCCCAAAAAAATCATTTTTGAAAATATTCTCTAATTGTAATTAAGGATATTCACGATCATAGGCTATTTGCATGAGGAGAGAATGTGAGAGATATGTGTGTAGATAGGGCAAAAATTATCGGTTTTCTCATAGAAATATGCACACAAGATATTTCTGTGATCGAGTCTAAAATACAGCTGAAGATGAATGGAATATACCTTTGTATTAATCTAAGGTCACGAAGCAGCATTTATCTATTAAAAAAAATGGAAGATAGGTTAAGAGATGAGAAAAACTATACGTGAGAGGAAAATATTTAATATTATCATTAAATATTGTAAATATTATCACGATGACACGAGTAAGGAGAAAAAAAAATTGAAGATTTTATCGAGATAGTGAAAGAATTATAATTTTAATTAAAGTGTACAGGAATTTGAGATAAATAAAAGTATGATTTAATTAATGTCTGTTTTTCTTTCACACGCACCGAAGCGTTTAAATAAGCTGAGAGAGCTTCTGCAACCCGTGCTTTCATCGCAGACCGTCAAAGTTGTTTGCACACAATGTATTTTGTAAATGTTTAATAAAAGATTGGTCGTGTAATCTCCATATTGTTGATCTGAACTTCTTTCATAATCCATAGCGAATGGTATTATTCCCAGCTTCTAGCTCATTTAGATGAAAACTTATGTACACATGAACTTCTTCGCCCTTTCACTCTTTCCATCAATGGCATAAACTGTGCCCTCTTGATAGCGACTGAATTACAAACACACCCTGAGATTTGACAAAAATTCCGTTAATCCTGCGAGTGATAACAGGGATTCCTCGCTGACCACGTTCGAGTGGCCCGTCGAGAAAACACTGCCCCAGTTTTGGAGACTCTCCGCTGGACAGCGGCAGTGCGCAGGAGCCACGGAACCCCTCCGTCAGTCTCAGCCGTCCTCTGAGGAGGAAAATTGCCAAAAAAGTGCTTGTGAAAAATGTAAAAAACTACAGAGTGAGTCGGTGATCTTGTGCTTTTTGGCGGGAAATCCCAGAGGCCGCACGTGTGAAGGCAGAATCCCAAGATGGGAAACTCTCAGGCTGTGCCGGACAAGCCTGCGGGCAAGATGGTGAAGGCCAAGAGCTTCATGCGCTTCGGGGGCAAGAAGACACCCACGAAGGAGCCCAAGGGCGAGCCTGAAGTGCAGGGCATCCTAATTGGGGGCCACAGGAGGAAATTCAAGTCGGCGGACTCCACGTACTTCAGAGGCCAAGCTGAGCAGTCAGCAGCGTCTCAAGCGGTGCCAGAGTTGACGAACAATGGGAATTGTGAGGCGAATGAGGCACAATTGGAGGTTCAGCCGCGTAAATCCATCAGTGAGCACGTGTCGTTGACCTCGAGTGAAAGACAGGAGAAACCAGCTCCGGCTGATTGTTCGGTGCTCTTGGATGACGACCTTCTCAGTTACAATTCTGCCGTCACGCGGGCCGGAAGTCAAGCGCCAGTGCAGGACAAATCCATCCTCCTCGTCACGGACTCGTGGAAGAAGGCGCAGAGTGTGGACAGAGGACAGGCAGGTGAGTTTCCAGCTCAAAATGCACACACTTGTTGACCCATCTGCAGACAAAGAGGCATGGGAACCAGTTCTTCCTGGAAAGAGAGACTCCAGTTGACTTTCTTTGTGCTTTCGCTCTTCGAGTCACACGCGATTGAAGATCATCTGCACGCAGAGCACAAGAAAATCAGTGAAATGTGAGGGAGATTGTGATGGAGAAGAGAGATGATTTTGTGTAGAATTTAGTGCGAAATTTCGAAGGTAAAGTGCGGATAAATTGGCATCACTTCTACATATTGTGAAGTGTGCGTGTCCATTGCGAGATTTTGTAAAGTGCAGTTTAACCACACTTTGATTCTAAAATTTCATATTTATACAATATAATTGGAAGAATATGATAAACTTCACCGCTCAACAATTTATATTCTCACTTTCAGTGCGAGAAACCACATCGAATTGCGGGAGTTTCGTGGTGGTGCGCGAACAGACAACCTCTTCCAGTTCAGACTCCATCTTCACGGACGCCCAGACGCCGCTGGGCTTCACGGCGGAGTTCAATCAGTGCTACTACAGCGAGGAGGATGTCTGTGACTCCACGCAGGATGCCCGCGGTCCCTTCCTGAACGCCCTCGTGAGTCGCAGCACACTAGCGAAGCTCTCAGTGGCGCGCTTGAGCCCCATCAACGTGCTCGGCGAGATGGCCCAGGAGCGCTTGCGGAAAGGGAGCAGCGAGGAGGAGCGCCTCGGCGGGTCGCTCTTCAGCGTGTCGCGCGTCAAGAGAGTGGAATTGATGGACAATCTGGCCAAATTTAGCGACAGCAATTTACGTGAGTAGCAATCCGTTTCTCCTTATCGCACCTCTGGACAAGTGATAAGTCAGTGACGTCCTCAATCTCGTGTTTGCCAGCTGCTTTGGGGGAGATTACGATGTACAGAGCCAATGTGTGGGCTTTTAATTAAACACTGCCACTCTTCAGCAGTGAGAGAAAAGCTTTGTTGTGATGATAAAATTCTACAAATTTTCGAAAATTCGTCAGAGACCCTGAATTAAATATAACAGCTATAAAAGTTTATTGTTAAACATATTCCACGCGATTTTCTTTAAAGAAAATGATGAGAATGACTTTAAAAAAGCATTATTCGTCTGAAACTTGGGATTAAAACCTTTACTTGCCCTCGAAAAGAAATTGAAAAGAAAATTAAGAAGAAATCAAAAATTTAATTCTTATTTAGAAAAATTTTGTGTTCTAGTAAGTGGAATCGTATCATTTCTAAAAAAAAACATCTTTTCACAATCTTCGGAGTAACAAATAAGAACAAAGAAACTCTATTGAAGCCCTGCGGCGATTAGATTGTAAAATCCGCGTAATTTATTGCCACTCCTCGAGTGCCTGAAGCGACAGAGATTTACTCACGACACGCCTTATCTTGCAGCCACTCCGAGCCAGAACGGCCTGGAGGCCGACGTCAGTCCGCGAGATGTGCCCCTGCCGCCCACGCCGCGAAGCCCCTCGGACGGGAGTGTGCTCAAGAAAGTGGCCTCCCTGATCTCGGCTGAACGCCAGCAGCAGCAGCCCGAGAAGAAAGCCCCCATCGTGCCCGAGAAGCTCAACTTTGGCGTCTACGAGAAGTTTGAAGGTAAGAACGGAAGAGCCACTCACAGTTGCGTTTCCCCGAGAAGAAGTGAGTCAGTTTCTCGAGAGACTTTGGAGTGTGATCCAATGCTTTTGACCATGTTATCTTAGTGCGATAAGATAGTCAGACAAAGAGTGACGATGCTCAATTGATAAATTTACCATGGGACCAAGGGAAGTAGTGTTGTGTCTTCATAATGTACATCACAATCCCTTGAAAATTGAAGTAAGATGTTCAAAAATCGGCAAAAGCCACTCAAACAGTCTCTCGCAATCTTGACTTCCTCATACTCATAAAACCTTTTCGATACTTTTCCAAGTTGTGTTGTGGACTTAAGTGTACACCTCATCCTTGCAACTGCTTCTCCTTTGGTGGTGTTTTGAGAGAATTTTCTTGACTTCCTCGCAAAATCGCCCACGTCGCCAGTTCAGTGAAAATAGCCAAACGATGAAAGACCACAAAATCATCCTCATCCGGAAGTTTCTAGTCGTTGTTCCATGGCATTCGAAGAATCTCTTGCTCTCTTGTCGCGTCGCGCTGGCCATTCTTCGCCAATTTCGGCGCTTTTGGCGCCAACAGTGCCTAGTGTGGGTGCCTAAGCAGGGCCTAGAATGGCGCGCAAAGAAGCGCGGCGTACTCGTGCTTCCCGCATGCGTATCGCTGAAGGTTGTTTGCTATCAGTGCGCTTCGGTACTCTGCTGGCCCATCCACAGTGTTCACTGTGCATGTCCGGCCACTTCCGGTCCCATGGTGCTTCGGCTGCGCCTCCGCCAGGCCGCCAAGCATCTGCACGCGAGGCGTCTCGCTCTCGCGCCCATCGATCCATGTTAGTCTCCCTTGCGTTCCGTTGCTCGCTCTCGCCTCACGCCTTTCACTCTCATTCCAGGTCAGATGCTAATGAATTGGTTGGTGACATCAGTGCAGCCGCACACCAACCTCACGGACCACGACATCCACACCATTTGTCTGCAGACGTGCACAAATCTCCTCATGGCCGGCGTCATCAAGCAGATACCCGACCGACTGGCGCCCGTTCAGGAGGTCTTTCGCGTAAGTTCCACACCTCGAAATCTGTCCTCAGCACTTACCACCTCTGCCATGCTCTCAGTCAACCGCCAACTCTCGCCAGTGAAGCATTGAGCGCGATAACGACCAATCGAGAGTCGTTTTGGGATTTTGCGAGCTTAGCATAAGCAATGAAATCATAGAGAAAGAGTTCCTTCCTTATCTGGCTAATCCAAACAAAAATCCGGTAAATATTTTGATTCTCTGGAATTCATGTCGAACGCGCGACAAGCTTATCTTGCAAGACGAATTCAGATTACCCAAACTACAGGAAGTGGACTAGGAAGGGCTTTTAGATTTCTTGAAAAGACCATTTTTTTATTTCAAAATTCTCTCTCATTTCCAGACAAATCTCATGTACCAGTGGACGCACACGGAAGTCCCTCCCGCAACTCCCATCACTCCTGGTCGTCTGGACGCCTCCACGGCGTGGCCTCATCTGGATAGGCCTGTAACGGTCCGCGAGGAAGAGACAACAGACAGTCTTCAGCAGCTCAAAGACCGCCTTAGTCAGTGCGAGAGCATCAGTGAGATGAAGACTCTGGTGGAAAACTTCCCAGATCCTCAAGTCACGGACATGATAGTCTATGAGGTTCCCAAGATCTCCAAAGACATTCAGCCACACGTGAAACGGATCCGTCGGAATTTATCCAGCGATCTCAGCGACGCCGAGCTGAGATCGCTGCATTTCATCCCAAATGGACAGGCGAACGGCTTTCGGCCGATCTGCGAAGAGAAATCAACGCAGACGGACTTCGAAGTGCTCCATCTCAAGAAGATCACCATATCTGCCACAACACCAAAGAGCCCCCTTGCGAGTCCCGTTGCAGAGGCTCCGCCCCCGCCGCCATTGCCTCCCCCGCCCCCAGTGGCGAACATCCCGGAAGTTACAAAGCCAGAAGAGCCTAAAAAGGAGATCAACGCAGACGCGGACACAATCAATGGGGAGCGAGAAGCCAGCGTAATCGTTCCTCCTCCTCCTCCACCTCCACCTCCAGTAATGGGAGCCGCTGGCCCCCCGCCTCCTCCGCCGCCGCCAGGACCACCACCGCCTCCAATGCCGCCTGGAGCTGCAGCTCCTCCACCGCCAGCTCCGCCTCCACTCGCCCCAAGTTGCCCCGATGGCGCCAAAGCAGGTCCTGGCCCGGTTCCCTTTCCCCTCCCTCCGGCCGGCGGATGGCAGCAGAGTCACACGCTCAGGAAATCCGCCGTGAATCCTCCGAAGCCCATGCGACCACTCTACTGGACACGCATAGTGGCTCCGAAATCACCCGTTGAGGATCTAAGTTTGAATGGCTCAAATCTGCTGTGGGCAGAGATTGACGAGATGAAGCTGGACAATCTGGATGAGTTTGCGGAGCTGTTTTCGCGACAAGCTGTGGTGCCAAAGGCCAAGGAAGCCCCCAAGATAACAAAAGTGCGCAGCATCAAAATTCTCGACAGCAAGAGGAGCCAGAACGTGGCCATCTTCGTGCGATCCCTGCATGCGGACTTTGCTGAGATTGAGCATGCTATCAGCCATTGCGACACTTCGGTGATCAGTCTGCAGGCATTGCAAGTGATTAGGGACATCAGAGCCACATCTGAGGAGCTTGTTCAAATCCGTGAAGCCTCCACTGATGAGTCGCCATTGGATGAGCCTGAGCAGTTCCTGTTGCGTCTGGAAGACATCTCATCCTGCTCTGAGCGGATCTCCTGCATTGTCTTCCAGGCGGAATTCGACGAGGCAGTGACGCTCCTGGAACGCAAGATGGGTGTTTTCACAGACACCTGCAATCTTATGTTGGACAGTGAAAATCTCAAGAATCTCTTCTCCATCATCCTCACGCTGGGCAACTATATGAATGGCGGGAATCGAACGCGTGGTCAAGCGGATGGTTTCGGTCTAGAGATCCTGGGCAAGCTGAAGGATGTCAAGTCCAAGGATTCGAAGATCACACTGCTGCATTTCATTGTGAAGACCTTCATTGGCGAGCGCAGGAAAAGTGGAACGCCTCTCACAGAGTTGCAGATCCCCATTCCAGAAGCTGCTGACGTGGTTGTGTGCGCCTCAGTTGACTTTGAGGATCTCACGCAGCAGCTGGAGAGGCTCGAGAAGAAGCTCAAGGGTGATTATCAGAATTTCGAACTATTATAGTCCACAATTTATTGAAAAATAATCGCCCTTTTTTCAGAGTGCAAAGTAACTTCTCAGCGCGTAATCGACTCCTCGTCTCCGGAGAACGTTCAGCCCTTCGAGGAGAAGATGAAGGTTTTCCTGAATGCCGCCACTGATCGTCTGCTGTTGCAGAAGAAGGAAGTCAGCGACTGCAAGAGGGTGTTCAACAAAACGATGGTGTTCTACAAATTCTCGCCAAAGTCGGGCACGCTGGACGACACAAAGCCCGAGCAATTCTTTGAGATGTGGCTCGCATTCTCCAATGATTTCAAAGACATTTGGAAACGAGAGATTCAGGATCTGACGCGTGAATTGTGAGTTGCTCCCAATTTCCCAGTGGAATCCTGTGATAATTCCGGATCTTTGTGCTTCCAGGCTCAAAAAGACCAAACCATCACCCAAGCCGGCTAAAGCCAAGGCCAAGAAAGTCGTTCCGGGCAGCTTGAAGGATCGCATGCAGAAATTCTCCAGCAAACTCGCTAGTTAGTCGCACCCTTGTTATTTAAACTCCTGTACATTGTGCCCCTCTCGCCCGTAGAATTGTTACTAATATATTTTCACAGTATTAGCCTAGATGTAGACGCATTGCGTGCGTTTCTCTTCAAATTCTTCCCTCTCGCTTGCATGCCGGCAGCCGACTGGAGCGCCCACTCACGGGAAAAGAGGTTGTTGAGTTGCTGTCAAGATGGTTTAAAATTGCCGTGAAGTGTGTGCAAATTTTTCACTCGATATCTCATTTTTTATCGTATTTATCTGTTTCTTCTCCACACCACACCCTTGATAGATGTCCACCCTTTGAGTTTAGTGGTCAGTGAAGCCTTTCGGTTTGGCCCCGTGGCCGAAAATTCAACTGCAGCGGGCCGCCACTTGAGGTAAGGGCAGAAGCGTGGGTCTCATTATTCTTTCTTTTGCCTCATTGCTCTCTTTTTGCGTGGTATAATCTTCTTTGTCTCCAGGGGAGATGCTGGCCGTCGTGCCTAATCTCTCGGCAGTGTTCTACTTGTTCTTGGAGAGTCCTTGCGTGCTTGCGATCGAAAGGGTTTCCCTTCTTCGCAGCTCATTCATATTACATCCCCTCTATAATTACTATTGGTGGATTGATGATGAAGAAAATCAATATTTTAAAGCTAGGGTGCTGGTCTCACCCTCTTCTCTAAATTATTTACAACACCAATCGATGCGCAAATTCGCGGATTGTTTCGCGTTTCGTCCTGTCTTCGGATTTCCCAGTAATACTTTCTTTCGGGTCATTGTTCTATTTTTTTATAATTGTGTTCCAGGATCTCTTGTCTCTGCGTATGATTTAGTTTGCGAACGGGATGGAAGTGGAGAACTTGGGGGAAGCCGGTGGAGCTGCGCTGATGGCGCCAAATCTGACGTTCCAGTGTGTCTTCTGTCACGCTGACTTCGACCTGCCAACCGACCTGGCGCACCACATGCGGATCTTCCACGATGATCCGCCCTACGATGATCTGGAGGATGACTGTGATTACCTGGCCCTGATGGAGCCCATCTGCGAACTGAGGCAGGACGATGCCGAGCTGAACTTGCTTCAGGGCAGCGACGAGAACTCCTCGGGCTCCAGCAACGGTGTGGCTCACGGGCCGGGCAGAGGACGTCCGCGGGAGACGGCCGACGAGCTGGAGTCTGGCAGTACGCAAGAGTGCTTCTTTCAGTGCACCGTGTGTGAGAAATCATTCAAGTTCGCCGGCGATCTGGCCAAGCACGTGCGCTCACACACACAAAACAAGCCGTATCAGTGCAGCGTCTGTGAGAAGACGTTCACACACATCGGCAGCCTCAACACACACATCCGCATCCACAGTGGCGAGAAGCCGTATAAGTGCCAGCAGTGCGACAAGGCCTTCACGCAGTCCAGCAGCCTCATGGTGCACATCCGGTCGCACTCCACAAAGAAGCCGCACCAGTGCAGCATCTGCGAGAAGGGCTTCGTCAACAGCAGCAGTCTGGTGCTCCACATGCGCCTGCACAGCCAGGCGGAGCCCTTTCCGTGCCCGCGCTGCGACAAGACTTTCAAGGCCGCCCAAACGCTCCAGGAGCACATGATCCTGCACACGGAGACGCCGCTGTATCAGTGCACCATCTGCCGGCGCGCCTTCCACCACGCCAGCGAGCTGGTGCAGCACATGAAGTGCCACACTGGCGAGAAGCCCTTCCAATGCAGCATCTGCGAGAAGAGCTTCACGCAGCCCGGCAGCCTGAACACCCACATGCGCATCCACACGGGCGAGAAGCCATTCCGCTGCCCGGAGTGCGACAAGTCCTTCACACAGGCCTCCAGTCTGTCCGTGCACATGCGGATCCACTCGGCCAGGGACAAGCCCTTCACGTGTCGCGAGTGTGGCAAGTCCTACAGTCAGCAGGCCTACTTCAACAAGCACATGGCCATCCGGCACAACGTGGCGCGCCACGGCGAGGAGTGCACGGAGTGCCGGCGCACCTTCGACAGCCCCGTGGCCATGTCCAGGCACATGGTGAAGGCGCACCCGCAAATCTATCAGTGCTCCATTTGCCGTTCGCAGTTCAACCACTCAGACGATCTCGTCACGCATCTCAGGGGTCACTTTAAGGATTAGCCGTGAGAATTCCCGAAGTGAGGACACTTTAAAGTCATTTAAGGGATTGCTCTCGTGCGTCCAGCATGATTGGGAATTCTATTAGTTCTATACTGCATGAATTGCACGCAGATTTTGGTTGAAACCATATTCCAAAGATCGCACATTACTTTCAAATTCGAATCTTTGGGACAAAAAGTTGGAGAAAATCTCTTGATCCTTCAATGCCGACAAAAGTGCCGAAGGATTTGTATTATTGGTTTTATTTTTTGCATAGAAAAAATTCCAAAATTTGAAGATATTGAAGGATGGCGCATATTTATTCACCTAGAATACCAACTCATGCTCAATGTAACAAGGTTTGCTAGAAGAATGAGAGCAATTCCTTGAAAAATCGAAAACTAGTTTAAGGAGAAATATTGCAGGAAACGCTGAAACGCCCTAGTTTAGAAAAGTTGATGTATGAAAAAAAAACCGACAAATTGTACTTGAGAGATTTTGTGCCAGTTTCCACGACAGAGAAGCAAATTTGCAGAGGATTTTATATATATATATATTTAGAAGAGAAAGAATTATATATATATATATATTTTAGGAGTTGATCTAGAGTGTGAGAGACATTTTAAGAAGCTTCCACGCAGTATTTTTCACAATAATAGTGATTAAGAAGAAAAGTGTTGATCAAAGTGTTGAAGGTGTTGATTCGAAAATGCTTGAAAGACAAATAGTTTTTTGCCATATTTTTTTTTCACTGAGAAAAGGTGAGGAAATTTTCTCCACCGATTAGTTTGTAAGTTTTAAAAGGATTGTGTTTTAATTTCACAACTTTTACATTCGGTTTTAAGTGTCTTTTGCCATAGAAGCCACAGTATTTTTGAGACTCTCTCAGCCGACAGGATGTTAGCTTTAAGGATTTACTTAAGGGGCATTCTTTTGTCTTGTGATTTGCCGTGAACCAAAATACGACTCCTTTATTGCGTCCTGAGGCTCCGGATGACATTTTGTAGTGATTGATTTTTCACGTGTACAATAAATCTCACTAGAAAGCTAAAGGAAACCGTAGACTTATCAGTTGTAGAAGGGATTGTACGTGACCCAGTGCGCTCTCTCTTGCTCCTTCTCGCTCTGATGTGACGTGAAGATAGATTTGTAGACGTCGCTCGCCTTCGGATCTGTCGCCACGCTGTAGGACTTCTTGGCCTTCAGGAAGGCCGGATCTGTGAGCTTCTCGTCGTTGCTCCTCTTCAGCTCCTTCACGATTTTGCTGCTGCCGGGTTTCGCCTCCTCCACTTTCGACGTTGATGGTCCAGCCTCTGTGGCCTCAGGGATCTTCTTGGCCTTCTTGTCACTCTTCTCCTTCTTCTCCGCCTTCCTTCTCGCCACTCGGGCCTCCATTTTCACCCTCATGTGCTCGATATCCTCGTCAGATCCGTTCAAAATCACCACATCCGCCTCAGTGAAGGGCGTCTGGCAGAGTGAACACACGCTGCTCTTGATCTCCTTCAGAGCGCGCTCAGAAAACACGCATCCGCATGCCCACAAAGCGATAAATCTGAACTTTCCGCTCATCTCAAGACCGATGAGCTTGCAAATGTACGGCGCAGAACGCACGTCCAGCAATCCCTCCTGTTTGTCAGCATCTGTGTAGGTGGGATTGGGCGTCAGTGTGAGCTGCTTGATGTCCTTCAAGCTCTTGATGTGGTTGGCAGCCTCTGGCATCTTGTCCTTCTCCAGCAAATTCTCAATCACGCTCTGCTTGGAGTACAATCTTCCCAGTCCACACATCACCACGGGCTCCTGCAGGGGCTGTTGCGTCAGGGCGCAGTGCCTCCATCTGAACTGCATCTCAGATTCCTTGTCTTTCTGCAAAGCAACCAGGAAGTCATCAGTCACTGCCCTCAACACTAAGAAAACCATATGCAACTCACCTGCTCTGGCTTCTTCTTTGTCCTGACCAGTTCATCCCTCCTTGGAATTGTTCCACCATCGCAACCCATTCTGCAGGACTTCTACTGACTCTTTTCACTAAACTTCAATGGGAAACAGAACGATTTATAGAGATTTTGGATGTTTTTCTTCTCACGCACAAAGCTCTTGTTTTGGGTTCTGGAAATTTTTGACAGCACTAATGATTCCATCGATTTCATCGAATGGTGACGCATGACGTCACAACTCATCGAATTGCCCGCAATTCTCCATTATTTTCGCGAGTTGTTGCAATTCGGCAGTGAATCTCAGAAAACCATTAATTCGTGAGCAAATATGCAGCTTCCTTTGCCCAGGAGTATTGTGAATGGTGCCGGCGTGCGCCTCAATGCGGGGAAAACTGTGGGCGTGATGGTGAGAGTGAAGGAATACGATGGATCCTCATTGTTTATGCAGGGTACAACCTCGGATAATGTCGAGATAAACATTACCTTGAGGACTCCACTGGACAGAAGGATCAACGAGCAGTGGGTGGAGGTTATCGGCACACCAACCCGACCAGATTCCATCAACGCCGGCGAGGTAAACCAGCAGAGGAAGTCCAATAAATCTAACCTTAACCTAACTTTTCTCTGGACAGGTGATCATGTTCCCGGACGATGGACAGGAGTTCGACAAGAGGGCCCACAACATGATGATTCAGTTCCTCACGAACGCCTCCAATGTCTTCAACATTCGCTGATACCATCTTTAATAAACACTTTGTGCAGAGCGATTGAACTTTCATTAATCAAAACTGTCTCATGTAGTTTGTCCAGGAGCGCGCAATCTCCACATGACACGGCGTGAGTTCAGCATCGGCGATCACGCCCAGCCGCACGTGTGTGCCGAACTTCTGGATAGTCAGCGAGAGAGATGTGTTGGACATGGGTGGGCGGAAGTAGATCATGTCGATGACCGGATGGCCCCAGAGCGTCCTGTAGCGTCTCGTGGTATTTTCCACAGTGTCCGTCACGGTGATACAAAACTTCTTCGACAGGTAGTTGGTCAGCAGCTTAATCCACATCCACGTAAACACATTCGTCATCACCGTTCGCCTCGTCTCAATGCCTGTGATCGTGTACAGAGCGATGTTTGTTCGCCGGGCCTCGTGCAGAGCCCTCCTCATTGCCGTCACGTGGTCCATCTTGCCATTCCCTAAAGGCAGGGGTAGACAAATCACTCCATCCACACCATACGATCGCGACATCCTGCCCATCAGACAGTCCTGGTGAACACTCCGCGCGGATATATCCACCGCCCGAGGCACTGGGGTGTCTGCAAAGTCCTCCAAGGCATCGCCAATGGCAGCAGCCAGCATTGTCAGGGAGATTTCCGCCTCAGTAGCTCCAGCTCGCTTGGCAGCGCCCTTAATCTCCTTCTTGTCCACACTATCCGACCAGGAGATCACTTTCCTCCCACAAATCGTGGCCGTTTGGATGCCATGGCGATTCCCGCGACTTCCAGCAATTAGACTCTCGTACAAACACATCGGAGCAATGACAATCAGCCGAAGAGCTTCGAAAATCTCCCAGAGAGCAGCCCAAACCAGAGGGATGAACTCAAAGAAGAATCCAATGATGGTGTTCGGATAGCCACAGTGTCCTGCAGGATAAGAAACATTAGCCACAATTCATCGAAAGAAATTTCAGAACTTACCCAGGAAAAGACAACACCGAATAGCCATGCATTCCCTAACCACAGCCAGCGGGATGATGACAATGGCCTTGCCGATAAGCCAGAAGAATCCTTTCACCACTCTCCTGGTGATTGCTACGGGATCTACAGCGTCCAGCACGCAATCTGCCACGATTTCCCACGAGAGATTCCTCCTCCTCACCTCGCGTCTCACTAAGCTCATGAAGTACCTGAACTTCTCCGAGGGATGCGCCCTGATGGCGTGATATCCTCGCCAGAAATCACTCAAGACACACACACCGGCTATCAGGATGAGCGACATCAGGTGTGGCAACTCTTTCACTTGCTTCTTCAGCCCATCTGGAGATTCTAGTGGATCGTGGCGGTAAATGAACTCATTCCAGCGATTTGTGATGGCCACTCTGACCCTCGAGTACAATTCCAGGATGCTATCTGGCGGCGCCACGAGATTGCTGAACGGCAGATCCATTTCCTCGTCCAGTTTCTCCTCCACGACCGCCGGCTTGCCGCTCTCCACCAGCAACAGGTCGCAGATGCGGATGTTGGGCATGTCCGACAGCAGCAAGTGGTGGAAGCGCAGCAGGATGTAGTAGTGATCCATGCATGGCACTGGATTCTCACACACGCTGGAATGCGGCCGCTGAGGCTGGTAAATGGGCACCACGATTATCTGCCATGGCGGCAGATTGAGTGGAAGAAACTTGGACGTCTGCTCGCTCATGTACAACTGGACATTGGCATCCGTCACGGGACGTCCTCTGTAGCCCTCCTGGCTGTAGATCACATGATTCTCAATATCAAAGTCGCTGCAAGGGGAAAAAGAAGCAGTTAGACCACGGGAAATCGTTTTCTTTTTACATGTAAATGCAATTTTGCATATCTTTATTGCCTGTGCCAAATCTCTTGCATATGATTAAGTACAAAATAAACACATTCAAATAACAATGCGCTGACTAAAGAAGTCAAATACCTTGTTGAGATAAATTGTGGTCCTAAACTAAACATAAGCAAAAACCCCACATTTTGATTATTATCTCCAAAACTAACAAAAATATTTTTCCCTCCAATTTGCAGTAAAACACAGAAGAAGTGCCGCCTGGGCCTGTGACTCACCTGCCATCGTCCGCCCAGGCATAGTGTCCCCAGCGGCAGTGCAGGGTGCACTTCATGAAGGGGAAGGCGAGCGATCCATCCTTGTTCCTCCTGTCCAGCACATGCTCAAACATGCGCCTGCGGATGGTCTCCGCGTCCCACGCCTCGCCAGCCACCTGGAGGACGATGTGCAGGATGCCCGGATTCCTCGTGGTGTCCGCAATGCTGCGCACGGTGTTCGTGGGCGAGAACGCGAGCCTGGGATACTGCCATTTCAGCAGAGTCAGCCACACGCGACGTGCCACTGAAACGACTGTGTTTCGCCACCAAATCCGGGTTAGCTAAGGAGCGATTTGTGGAGGAAAGAGAGAGAGCACTCACACGGATACCAAACGAGAATAACGGGCACGAGGCAGCACGCCGCACTGAAGATCCACAGACTCTTGCACACCGAAACAATCCCCATGAGGGACCACGTCTTCCGTTCACACGCACTTCTCAGTTCACACTCGCGTCGCCGGGCGTCCGACACTCGAGCCTGTCGCAGCAGAACTCCTGAGCTCAGTCCCTCCCGGTCGCACGCACAGCAGTCATCATCTCGCTGACCCGCGGCCCGAGCGCTTATCACTCGGCCTCGTCTTATGTAACTTTCTCCCGAGAAAGTCTCAGTCTTGCCTTGTGGGAACTGCCCATTGTCTGGACAGCGTGGACTTTGCTTTGTTTGCCGGCCGGATCCGCACACAGATGCACAGCCTGGGCGAAGGCGTCCACACTCGCTCAAGTGCTCAATGGAGAGCGAAGATCTGCAAGGAAATTAGATCGGAAAGTGGGAAAAAACACGATTTATTAGTGACCTCAAAGTGGCCTCTCCAAGATGATTTAAATCTTCCCACAATTCCAATGTGATGCAAGATCAATCGATCATCAGACTATTCAAAACGCACACACGCATTGGCGATAGACAAGACAAACTGATAACGGAGCAAAAGTGACGTCATGTGGTCAAGTGAAGTGATCGTCAAAAATCACTGATAAGAGCCTTTGGCCTCTAGTAAATTCTCGCTCCGATAAGCAATCTCCCAAATTTTACAGTAAAAAGAGTGATAGAGGACAGTGGGTCACTTTGGCCACTGCACTTTCTACTTTTATCCTCTCCCGATGCCTCGCACTTAACTCAACGGTTAAAAGAGTTCATTTCTCAAAGTTTCAATTCTAAATTGTATAAATTCAAAGTTCAGCGATTGCAAAAAAAAAACAGACCGACAACCAGACAACTGGACGACCTTTGGAAAACATCTTTATCGCCAAAGCCAAAGAAAGTTGATGGAATTCAGACAGATTACTCACAGTTTTAAAGGTTTAGATAACGATTGACGAGTCACCGTCTGCGGCCTCTGTTTCCGTCACTCCGTACATGCCGGCCAGGAGGCAGCCGTGGACGCTGGCGCCAGTAGAGCTGACCTCCGGCGGCGGACAGATGGGCCCGTCGTCGCCTTGATAGATGTACGGCAGTCGCAGGATCCAGTAAGTGCTCTGGCTGAGTTTCGCTGGCTCTGACAGACCAGCCGTGAAGGTGGTGCCGCTGCCCCGCGCGCCAATCCTCACGCGTGGCTCCAGGTTCACATTCACCGGCGCCTTGGGCGTCACCACATGCACTCGCATTAGCTGCGCCGTGAGGGATTTCCCCGCTCGGCACGGACAGGGGAAGTAGAGTGGCATATCGTTATACACCACTTTCCTGCCGCTGTCCTTGGCCAGAGAGCCTCCGCCGCCGCGCAGAATCTTATCCGGAGACGCCATAATGAAGCGATGTCCGCGCGGGCATTCGTATTCGCAGCCCACGAAGATCTTCAGCTGGAAGACAGTTCCAACGTCGCCTGATTGATGCTTGTTGCGCTTTCTCGGACGGTTCTTCTCGTAGTACGCCGCCCAGGAGGTTGAGTGCTCCAGACGCACGTGTACGTCCCAGGGAATGAGAAAATTGGCCCCCGAGAGGAAGCCAGATTGTGTGTGTTCGGGCAGTCCGGAGATGTGGCTATAGATCGAGCTCGGACCGATGCAGACTAGAGACCAACTAGGGAATTGCGGCAGCAATCCAGATAAACTCTGTGTGTGAATCATTCCCGGGAGATACTCAGTGGTGGAGTGTTGTCGCATGACCTTCTCAGGACTCTCGCCCACCTTCACCACGATCTCCTGCACGTCTTCGGGCGATTTCCTCTTCTCCGGCGACATCTTATCGTCCAGTGTCTTCAAACTGAGATCCGTGTGACTGTGCGTGAGTTGAGTGGCGGCATTGCTGGAATCTTGTGAGTACAGTTCGCCCAAATCATCATGCACCACCTCAGCAGCCCGGAAATCCACGCCCGAAGGCTCGAAGATGGGGAAGATGAACTTCTCAGCCTTGAGACAACCCGAACAGTTCGCAGCCAGGAGTTGATAGAAGTCATAATTGGCTTGCTTGGTCGTGTACGGATCTTCGCGTCGTCCCTGCGTCCTGCCACAGTTGCAGGTGGATACATAGACAACGCCACTGGAGTGCTGCGTGGGATCTGTGACCGTGTGCTTGGCCAGAGTGCAGGGATTTCCACTTAAACTCGGCGCTTCACATTGCTGCTTTGACAACCATGTCGCCTCGCAAACTTCCCGCAACTTTGCCTCGCATTCCTCCTTCCTGGGGCCCCTGGCGTACTTCCTGAACAGCTCCACGCTCTGGCGCAACTTCTGCTCGTGAAAAGGTCGGCTGTAGTGATGCGGCAGGAGTTCGTGATAGTGCAGAGTGGCAAACTCCAAGCCATCTTCTGTACACTCGGCGAAGAATCGCTCATCAATGTCCATGATTCGTGTAAAATTCTCCAGATACGACTTGTAATCCGTATCATTGGCCTCAAAGCATGGACTGTCTGGGTTCTCAAGGAAGATCTTGTGCAGCAACTTGAAGGTTTCCAGCCACGCTTTTGCCGTGGGAGCCGCAAAGTGACTCTTCCCTCTGAATTTCGCCATGCTATCGTCAAATCCCACTCTCAACGCCTCCTGAACATGCTCTTTAATCAAATTCATGAAGTTCCTGGGCGAATTCTTCTCTGTGTCTTGTCCATAGGCACTTAAGGGCTTTGCAAACCCTCTAAAAGGCCTGATGGAGTCGAATTCATCCTCCCTTCCTGCCGAATTCCTCCCTGTAGGCTTGTTTAAGCACTCCATGAGAAGATTCAAGGCATCCACAGTGGGATCCGAATGAATCTCTCTGTCAGTATTGATAAAGACGAATCTCTTGTTCCTTGGAATCGAAAACAGCGAATTTCCACTATTATTCATGATAATAAAATCATTTCTCAGCATCTTATAGATGTCGTCCTCCATCTCAAATTCCATCCTGCGCAGTTTTTCCGAATCATCCTCGCATCCTCCGGGGCAATGCTCAAAAAAGAAGATGAACCTGGGTGAGCACAATCGACCTTCCTTGCCCAAAATGCCCCCAGCAGTGGAGTTCTTCAAGAACTTGGGTAAAAACTTCAGCACGTATTTCTCCCGAATGACCTTCAGGCTCCTGAACAGACCCAAGTACGTCCTGTCGAAGTCACTCTGAGTCTCCACCAGCACAACTATGTGGCACACTTGACTGGCGAACAGCAGCATCCGGCCGAATCTTGTCCGGATGTGCGTGGAGAAATTAACGAAGTGCTCGTAATCCTCCTCTTCCTCCAGCATCTTCATCATAACTCCATTATCGTAGGTGGTCTCGAAGTGTAGATATATTATGTGATTGCTGTTGTCCACGTAGAATGTAATTCGGCCCTCCTGTCCACCATCAAGGAGGATCTTCTCAGCCAGGCTCGGATATTCCGAAAGATTCTTAAAGATCTCCATCTTATTGCAGTGTGGTGCTGAAGATTTCCCAATCACTCCCACGATGACGTAGGTTTTCTCATCGCAGAAGACCATTTCACTGGAAAACAATTCCCAATTCTTCAGATCCTGCTTGTCAAACTCTAAGCACAGTTTTACCTCAATTTCTGCCCAATATTTGGGTAAACACACTGCTGCAGCACCACCATTTTGATCCTCAGACACTCCTTAAGGGATTTTCCGAGAGAAACTCCGGTAAATACGCTGGGAGATCTTCTAAATGGGGATTTTTCCTAATCCTGGAACAACACGTCGCAGAAAAACACAAAATTCAGGTTATGATGCAACTGAAGTGACAGTACTTTTTCCCGCCAGAGGGGAATTATGGATATTTCCCCGCTTTTATTCCACCATAATTGCCCCTTCCATTGTTAGCTGTCAGTTTTCTGGTGAGGAGGAGAGTTTGTTGATAAAATTTGTGGCCAGAAATCAAGAAATAACGGCTCATTCATGGGTAAGAACACTCTAAACTTGTGCCCAATCACACTAGAATCCTCTCTTGGGTTCAGAGGAGTGTGGAAGTGTGCCCGAAATGATCATATGGGAGTGTTTTCGAGGCGCCTCCGGAAGGACTCTTCCTTGCACTCCTTTTGACACTTGAGGGCTTGTTTTCTATACATTAAGTGCAATTTCTGGGCTTTGCAGATGCCGAGGACAATCGTGGGGTGCTGGACTTGTCCAAGAAGTCCCTGAAGAAGGTGCCGAAGCAGGAGGACGCACAGCTAGTGAGACACCTCATCCTGGACGACAATGAACTGCAGAAGATCGACAACATTGATTCGTATCTCAAGATTGAGAGGCTGTCGCTGTGCCGAAACCAATTGCTGCGAATGTACGGCGTGTGTCGGCTGCATTGCCTGCGAGAGTTGAATCTATCCTACAATGGCATCCTGACAATTGAGGGTCTCAAGGAGCTTGCGCAGTTGACGCACCTCAATCTTCAGGGAAATCACATCAAGACCATTGAACATCTGAACACCAACACGCGACTTGAGCACCTCAACCTGGCGGAGAACAGCATTGGCAGCATCTCGGATGCGTCCTTCCTGAAGAACTTGAAGGAATTGTTCTTAAATGGCAACAGAATCTCGCACCTTCGCCAATGCGACAAGTACCTTCCAGTGAGTCTGGAGACGCTCACGCTGGCCAAGAACAACATTAGCGACCTCAGTGAGATTTCCACATTGTCTGGGCTCTGCAATCTGCACAGCATCAGCATTTCGGATAATCCGTGTGTGCAGATGACCGGCAGCGCTGTGGGCTTCGACTACCGCCCCTTTGTCCTCAATTGGTGCATGAGCGTGAAGCTGATCGACGGCTTTGTGGTGACGCCCATTGAGAGTCTGAAGGCGGAGTGGCTGTACAGCCAGGGCCGCGGCAGGCAGTTCCGCGTGGGAGAGCAGGGAAACCTCGTGCGCTACCTGGCCAGCGTCTGTCCGCTGTCCGGCGAGACGCTCGAAAGTGAGAAGGAGAGGAAACTGCGGCTGATCCTGAGCAAAGCACAGCAGCACCAGCGCCAGCTCGCTGAGGAAATCTCCAGCAATGAGCACTCCAGTAGCAATTCTCCCGCGGGACGCCGAAAGGGGGTTTCGAGTCGTATTCAGAGCCCGCGGTTTAATTCTCGGCTTACACGTCAAGGCTCCCCGGACTCCATGTCCAATAGCTACCATGGCAACACAACAACCGCCACTCCTGGCGACCCCACCACTAATCAGCTGCTGCAGATGACCACGTCCCTCATTGAGAACATCAAGAACGACAGCCTCATGACGCAGAGCCTCGATCCGCAAGTCCTCAGCAACAACGTGCGCAACACGGAGAACTCCCGGTCGGTGTTCAACGGGCAGCCGGCGGGTCCTCTGGCCGCCGCCAGTAAGATGATGCCCGTGCCCGAGTCCCTCATGAGCCCAGACTGCTTCCCATCCACCCAGATCGTGCAGAAGGTCATCCTGCAGCCCACAAATGCGAAGTTCTCCAGCAAGACCAAAGGTAACTTCCGCCTCTGAGCGAAAAACCCACTAAATCTCAGTAACCCTTTTCACTCGTTGTTCAGCAGACAAGGCAGCTTCTCCGAAAATGGGCAAGGGAAGTCCGCACATGCGGAGGAATGAGAGATCCCCGGTGCTGAGTCCGAGGAAGACGGCCGGAAAACAGGGTCAAGAGGTGAAGACCAAAGTGGGAACCATTGTGAATCTGCCGGCGGAAAATAGTAGCACTGTGAGTTCGGATGAGGACAGTGATCACATCAACCTGGACAAGCTGAAGACTATTCGCAACAAAGCCGCTGAGAGGTGAGTGTCTTCTGGACAGACCTTGTCTTCATGTTATTCTGATTTTTTTTTACCTATTCAGAGCCACTCAGCAGCCGCGGCCGCCCGTCATTGTGGCGCCCACAAAGGAGACGGAGACGTCAGCCATAATAATCCAGAAGCTGTGGCGAGGCTATCGCGCCCGAAAGCGGACGAAGAGTGTGGCGGAGAAGCTGCAGCGGAAGCGCACGCAAGATTACATCAAGAAGTTGACCAGCGACATGGAAGTGACGAAGGAGGCGCTGGAGAACGAGCGCAAGATCCAACAGCTGCAGATGCAGGCGATCAGTGCGCTATGGAAGAAGGTGTCGACAATGCAGGGTCCTTCAGGGAGCGGATCTGCGGGCGACGAGGGCGCGGCGGTGGTGCAGGATCTGGCCAAGACGTGCTCCATGCTGACGAGTCAGGTGCAGCAGTTGCAGGGCAGCATGAAGGACATCCTGAACTGCATGACGATGTTCTGCAATTTGCCCCAGGGCAGTGTCCAGGCGGCAGACAAGAGGGACTGCTCGGGCACACAGACGGAGATTGTGGCAGTGCACACGCCACAGGTGGAGAACCCTCCATTTCCCTTTGGCGGACAGCAGCAGCGGGTGTCCAGGCCATCGACACTGCCTCTGGAGACGCCAGAAACTTCCAATGCGGCCGTGGAGGCGCTCGAGGAGGACATTCCGGACGCCGTGGAGGCGAAAGACGTGGCGCACGTGGAGGAGACCAAAGATTAAAGCTCTCAACCTCATCCTCACTCCCCACCGTTTAGCATGACCTCTCCCAGATTTTTCCCCCAGTGTAGAATTGTAGGCTTTCAGTGTCCTCAAGTTTCCCTCCTTTTCCCGGAATAGTGTCAAGGGCGTCCAAGACGCCGGGTGTTTTCAGTTCTAGCCAATTAGCTGTGTAGCTGAGTAGAGAGATTCGTCAAAGAGTTTAGGTCAGAAGAAATTCCCTTTTCATATTGATTCCCACAACAGCTCTCAAAGGGAGAGATTCAAGAGAATTCGAGCAAATTTCAGACTTTCAGAGATCAATTCACAGCGCAAAATGTGAAAAATGCACGCATGGGCAGAGATTGAGATAAAATGTGCTTTACGATTTACAACTTATCTCTTTATAAAGTGATTAACTTATATAAGTATATGTATTATATTGAGAAGTTTTCAAATAAAATTCAATGCATTCCGGAAGACACATTTCTCAATCTGAGTCAGTCTCGCTTGACGATTCTGCTTCGCACAAATCCGGCCTTCTTCTGTTGGGATTCTCAGACAGGCTGAAGTCAGCTTCTGGCTCTTCACTCTCCAGCGGTCGCTTCGATGTGAACTTCTTCGGCCACACATTGGCCTTTGTAAACTCTTTGATGTGCTCCGGCGTGAGGATCTTCACGATCTCCGCCTTCACCTTGTTGCCCTCCTCGATGGGCTCCACCAGCAGGAAATCCCCTCGCTTCACCCACATATTCTTCCGGAACTTTGTCGGCATTGACACTAGGAAGTTCTCCTCATCTCCTGGGCTCTCCACGTCGAACAGGTAATTCCCTCGCGACTGCACCACCCTCACAATTGTCTGATTCTCCGAGGGCAGGTCGAAGTTGTCCATTAGAAACTCCCTCATGACGTGCTTTCGCTTTGTCGTCCGAGACATGATTGGATCGACTAAAATATGAAAACAGACTAGTAGAAAAGATTCTGCACTGTCATTCTGGAGGAGATTCTCACCTTAATCCGTTGCTTGATAGGAAGCGAAATGAAATTTCTTCGGGGAAAACAACGTGGTTTCAGCAAGATATTGTTTTGATGGATTTATCTTGATAATTCTCCGAATATCAATATGACTTTGCTGCGTGAGCTTCGAGAAAGTTCTTTGCAGGTGTATTTAGCAAAATTCTTCAGAATAACACTTGGAAAATGAGATTTTTGTTAAGAAAACAGAAAATCCGCCGGCGTGAGTTTGACAGCTATTTGTTTTGACGATGATTGATGTTCATGATGACGTCATTGATATGAACTGAACCGATTCAACTGTTTTTATTATCAAAATCACCCAACGCGTTTTCAGATTTCCTTCAATGGCAGCTATGCAATAAAAGTTCTGCCCTATCTTTTTGTGTATTAATCGTGTTAATTGATAAGGATAAATCGAATAAATCCACTAAAATTCTTTTTACAGCCAAACGGGAGAGGTTTTTTCCCGGAAGGTGGCAGCACCCGGCGCTTGAGGGCACCAATGAAAACGTCACGCGTGTGGTGTCGTGTCATATTTTCCGGCTTTGCGGGCGTAGTTTTTCCCTAAAAACGTGTGAAAATCCTGCAAAATGCGTGTTCTGTTGTGCTCATTCCTCTTCCTAGGCACTCTTCTCGTCACCCACGCGGCCATCGACGTGGAAATTGAGAACAAGCACGTGGACAGGACAATTGATGTGATCTCTCAGTTGGTGAAGATCTCATACAAGATAACTCTGGAGGCGAAATCCAAGAAGAACATCAATCTCTACACCTTTGTGGTGCCTGAACGCGATGCTGAGCACCTGGCCTACATCTCTGCCAAGGATGCAACAAAGAAGGAACTGAAGCTGAGCGACACGAAGACAAAGTATGGAGTGTCCTTCCGGATCGCACTGGCGACTCCCTCGGCCAATCCGGTGATCTACATCGAGACGGTGTTCTCGAAGCTGCTGCAGCCTTATCCCACTCAGATCGCACAGTCGGACAAGCAGCTTGTGCGCTACTTCGGCAACCTGTACTTCTACAGTCCATACAAGACGCTCTCTCAGAAGACGGCCGTGCATCTGGCCAGCCGCAATATCGAGTCCTACACGCAAGCGAAGCCCGTCTCGCTGGCCGATACCATCCTCACGTATGGGCCGTACGACAACATTGCGCCCTTCGCGGAGGACGAGTTGGCAGTGCACTACGAGAACCACTCGCCCTTCCTCACTGTCACACGCCTCGAGAGGACGATCGAAGTGTCGCACTGGGGAAACATCGCCGTGGAGGAGACCATCGACATGATGCACTCCGGGGCCGTGCTGAAGGGCTCCTTTTCGCGCTACGACTTCCAGAAAGACACCCGAAGCGGACAGTCGAGCGTGAAGTCCTACAAGACCATCCTTCCCGCCTCCGCGAGTGGCGTTTACTACAGGTAAAGACTGGATAGACATGAATTCAAGCGGCTTCAATTTTAATCTCCTTCCGCATCTCTAATCAATGTGACAAGAACTAAGCAATGCCTTTCTTTGCAGAGACACGAACGGCAACATCTCCACCTCGGCTATGCGCGTGCTGAAGGACTCTGTTGAGCTGGATCTGCGGCCGCGCTTCCCGCTGTTCGGCGGCTGGAAGACTCACTACACGCTCGGCTACAATGTGCCCTCTTTCGAGTACCTCTTCTCCTCAGGCGAGAACTACCTGCTGAAGATGCGCGCCCTGGATCACATCTTCGACGACATGACCGTGGACGAGCTCGTGGTGCGCATCATCCTGCCCGAGGGCAGCGGCAACATCAAGCTCATCACACCCTACTCCGTCACGCGCTTGGCCGACAGCCTACACTACACCTACCTCGACACCTTCGGGCGGCCCGTGGTGGCATTCACGAAGCGCAACCTCGTGGAGAATCACATCAGCGACCTCAATCTCAAGTACACCTTCTCGCGCGTGATGATGCTGCAGGAGCCGCTGCTGGTGGTGGGCTTCTTCATGATCCTCTTCGTGCTGGTCATCATCTGGATGCGCCTCGACTTCTCCATTTCACGCGAAAAAGACGTGCACCACCACAAGGATTAGAACAAGTTTGTCCAGTGATTTCTGTGAAACATTCTCATCTGGAGGCATTTTTGAGTCCAATAAAGAGTGTGAAGAAAATGCGCTTTTTCCAATAAATCACACTTCAGTTCGTAGTCAAAAAAAAAACTTTATTTTACAAAAGAAGCAAATTATTCTCAAGGATAAATACATACTTGTTTGCTATTTGATAAGTTTTATAATGAGTGGCAAACTCAAATGGAAAAAGAAAAAAGAGGACAAACCAAAGTAAAAATACTGTAAACTGTTAGTTGCAGTACTTAAAAAATGCACTTTAAACTATCTACTAGTCGATAAATGTTTTATCCATCTCTCTCTGTCGCATTACTTAAATTACAATTTCACCCACCAACTCAATGTTATTCTTAGTGAGTGAGCTTGTAAGAAAAGGATAAGAAAAATTACTGAGAAAATCAATATTTCGCAGATAAATTGTGACCTTTGCTAGTTTTCTTTTTCTCATAAAATCGTGTCAGTGTAGAAAAATTGATGGATAGGGAGAATGGATAAAAGTTGTGTTTTATCGCTAAAACTTCACGTGCTAAAAAGGAGTAAAACTGGTAGAAAAAGATGCGTTGTGGCAAGGATCTAGCCCAAACTCTCCACGCACACCGTGTTCAGGGAGTTTCCTTTCACAGTCGTCTTGAACTGCTCCGGAATCGGTTGCTCCGTCTGTGGAAGGAGACTGAGATTAGTATGTAAATTCAGGCACAGTTTGCACATTGCTACTCACGTAGTCGCCATTCCCTTTGGGAATCAGCACATTCATCTCGGACGACTTGGACGAGATGATCTCCACGCCGAGCGACTCGTTGGAGAGATACATTTGGCAGCCGTCCGTCTTATCGATGGAGATCGTGGGCACTTTGCCCAGCACCTGCATCTGGACGCTCTGGCAGTTGACAAACTCCACGGATGACACGAGCGAGTCGAAGAGGATCGAGCACTTCTTGCACGAGTCAATCACAACGCTATTGATCTTCCCCTTCACAGTCAACGTGGAGTCTTGGCACCGGAACATGTAGGCCACGTTGTTCATCTCGGCATTCTCAATCAAGAGACCAGGATTGGACTTCTGGTACTCCTGCAGAAGAAGTAAAGATAAGCCGTATTAGCTTTCACATTAAGCAGTCACTTCAATCAAGTATGATGAGAGATTTTAACTTATAATGAGTCAGAACAAGGACTGAAAATTCTATGCAAATGACTGCGAATCGTGCTCAACAGCTTTATGCTAAATGAAGTGCAATAGAGCATTTTCCCCTAAATTTCCTCACGTGCCTCAACATAGTGAGGAAATTTACTCAAATTGCAATGAAAGCGTGTCTCGAATCAACTCTTGGCGACCCCCATAAATTCGTCTGCAGAACTCCAATTCAATTTCTAAGTGACAAGACAGACACCGAATGACTCTCTTGATAATTTCTTCCACTTGCTGCGAATTAAATTGTAAACCTTGTTGCAAACATATTTCTCTCTGTCTTCCCTTGAGCACAAACGGCACAAACCGTACTGTATGCAATTTGCAAAGCTCACTTTCACAATTTAGTAGCTAAATACCCACTCCTTGCACACTGTTCATGCCCGCAAAACCCACACACACAGATGAGTATTTATGGGACACACAGTGGCTCAAATTGAATTTTCCCCCAGTGGGAATCGCCCCAGGAACAAGCCAGGAAGGTGTGTCACGACCAGGCGCACACGCGGGATGAGCTCGTGACACAAACACTCCCATAAAACACTGACAAGATCTCATCTTTGATGTCCTTATCGCAAATCATACTCACAATAATCCACTTTTTGCCGTCACGCGAAAACACTGGCGGTTTGTTAAACGCATCCGTGGCCGCTTTTGGGGCTCCAGCGGGCGCCGTGACGCTCTTGGGTGCCTTAAATGGTGCCGGACCCGATCTCAGGCCCGGATTCTTGTGCGTCTGCATATCAGCACTCACTTTCTTCAAATCTGCAAAGAAATAAACACTCAAGTAATTCCTCTTGCGTCACAGGCTAAAGCCAAACATTAAGGAAAGTCAAACATTTCATCCATGTTGGATTTGTTGTAGGAAAATAAAACTTTCTCTTGTAACTCCAAGTAAATCACTGTGTAGACAAAAGATAATAAGATATTCTGTGAAGAAGGAAGACAATTTCTATGAGAGAAATGCAATCTTCCGACAAATTCATTACGTATTCTCCTGTAATTTTGCCCCTCCTCATGACAAACTTCTCGACAGATTCGGAGACTGTGTCGAGAAGTTTGTGCATTAAGTGCCAAACAGTGGAAATGATGAGCAAATTTGCACTCATTATTCCCCCTCGTCGTAATGAAATTGTCTTTTGGCGCTTGTTTACAGCTTCTTAATCCATCACTCACTCTTCGTGATGTCCTCGCCACGATTGATCTCAGCAAACAGCGCGCTGCGATCGTCTCCGGCCCCGGACAGGCTCAGCTCGTCCAGCGGAATCACTGGCGGCGGTGGCGGCATGCCGGGCGGTGGCGGAGGCGGGCATCCGCCGCTCGGCACGGGACCCTTGCCCGACCACACCAAGCCAGTGGTGTGGTGCTGTTTAATATACTGCTGCAGATCCGCGAGCGTCTGGATCCAGGCTCGCGTCCACTCCACGTGAGTGGCGTCCTTCTCACGCCACTCCTTCAGCACACGATTCGTGTAGAATTGCCCGGCATCGTTCATCTCCTTCACGTGCGGCCCCGGCGTGGGCGCCACGCACACCCAGCCCAGCGCCGGGATGCTCTCGCTGATGGCGGACAAGTGGTTGAAGAAGGACGACGTCCTATGCTTCTCGCGGAAGTCCTGGATGGCTGCAATACGCTCAGACGTGGGCTGCAGGAGCTGCATTTGCCGATCCTGCGGCGGCTGAGACGATTGCGTGGCCAATGTCACGTACCTGCGATAGAACAAAGAGGAATTTTTAGATTTCTCATTTCATTTCATTTGTGTATTCATTTTATCAATATCTTAGCTTAATTATTGGAACAAACAAATAATACAGCTTTAGAAAAACTTTTGGCCATTTTACGTCTTCATTACAACTGATAATCGAACTGATCAATTAACAAGATGACTCAACTTCTAAGAGCTCAATTGAGATCATCTTTGAGCTCTTATGAAATGCAACACATCATCACAACTTCTCATTATTATATTATCGGAAAAAAGTTCCGAATAATCAGTCACTATCAGCCACTTTTCGTACGAGTGATCCAACAAAAAGCGCATGAGTAATGTTTCAATCATCTCTTTGAAAGCTCACTTAGCCATAAACAAATTGCGGTTTAATGCTGTGACGCAATCTCGGAAGAATTCCAATAAATATCCAACTTACTTCAATTGAGCGTCGAATGCCTGCTTCACGAGCTCCGCCTGGGCAGCCACATCGCCGCCAATCTTCTGCGACAGCTTCACATATTGGGCCACATTGCCCGCCACGATGTCCTCATATCCCTGAACACTCATGCTAACCGCCTCCTTTGACGCCTCCTTCGAAATTAGCTGCACAACAGTCGGAATTACGTCCGCTTCTCTCTCTTCCTCCGCCTGATGGCCGTTTCTCACCACAGCACTCTCAAGACTGTTGATCCTCTGTTCAAGATCCGCCGAGAGGGTGTCGAAATTGTGTGCGACTGTGGCTGTTGGGGGCGGAGTGGGTGGCGGCGGAAGTTCAAAGTCCAGAGATTCTTCCTTGCTCAGATAGCAATCAGCCCTCTCGATGTTATCCTCGCTTTCTGCCTTTCCTCTAACAGCGTCTAGCGTCTGATTGACAATGGCCAACTCCTTAGCCGACACTGATCTCTCTAGACGGTCGACAATTCTCTCCAGGCGCACAATCAGAGCCTCTAGTTCAGCCGCTGTGGATGGTTTCACGTTCGGATCGCAATCTAGGCAAAGGAAGAGAGGAAAAATCAGCGAAATTCAATAAAACAAGCTGGAAAGGAGCGTAATTATATCTGAAAAGAAAAATCCTTCAGGCACTTTTCCACCCACATCAGCCACAATTGAATTTTCCCTCACGCACACCGTCGATGGCGCATACAAAAGAAGCTCCCCAAACTCGAAGGGAGGCCCAATTAAACGTTCACACCCTTTCAAAATGCCTCAAATCACTCAATATTGCGTGGGATGAAAAGTGATCCTTCTCAGCCCCATTTTTCCGGCATTTTCACAGCGGAGAAATCAGGTGAAAATTACCTGGATTATCGCAGTTCTTCACATCATTGATTATTAATGTTCGGCCAAAGCACACACTCAAGCTCTGACCCATTCGAAATGTTCATCAACAGAGTCACTTTTCCACCATGTCTCATAACATTTCCATCACCCAAAAAAGTGTATATGTTTTTGTGTGCCTCTTTTCTCCACCACAGATAAACAATGACCACCAAATGGAGAAATTTCCACAGAGCAAAATAAGTCACATTCCTCGCCACTTGCTATGAATCTCCGGCAATTTCACTCTCTCTCTCTCGCACACTCTTTAATCCATTCTAAATTTATCCATTTTCACCATGTCTTTTGCAAAAGTGTAACGTTCTAATTATAAAATTAACACACAATCTCGCATGAGCTTTTTTCCCTCAAAATCTCACGCTTTTTCGTTTATATTTTATATCGCATGCCGCAGGAATAAAAAATGCAGAGATCACACAGCAAGAGGGAATAAATTAAAGATGAAAAAAGCGTCAAAACGAGGATTTTCCTCGGGGGAAATACATTTCCCATTCCGCAACCAAGAGAGACTGAATGAAAGATATTAATGCAAAGCGAATCTATGGAAATTTCTCTGTCAAATTGCGCGAAAATACAGGGTGTGGCACTCAAAATACAATTTAAATAGATTATAAGTAAGATTAGGAAACACATTCACTACACTTTAGACGAATGCTAGAGCAAAATTTTACTTAAGAAAAAATTGAGATCTTTGTTAGAACTTTACAGCCACACTCTGTATTTTTTTTCTCTCTTCCACAAGTCAAATCCACGAATTGCCAAGTCAAAGATGTTATTAGTTGCAGTGAAGTGACTGGAAAATGATCACTCTTGAGCGTCTCTTTACCTACATATATAGAACACAACTTCTCTCTTTCTCGCACACTCTTTTTCTGTGGTGGACAAAAATGCACAAACTAGGCAGTAAAACTCCCCACGAGACACCTTCACCCGGCGAATGTTGACCACAAACCACCGCACAAAAGTCGCACAGTCAATTCCTTATCATATCGCGCACTTCTTATCACCCTCACGCGTCTTCGGCGACAGCAAATCCCAATCACACCGCCAGAATCAGCGTCAGAGAGCACACACAGCGGCAGATAAACTGAACTCATGGGCTTGCGAGAGAATTTTTTGGGCTGTGGCCAGAGAGACAAAAGACGTCCACCGGCCAGAGAATTGACTCAAATTGTCACCCAAGATCACAAATTAATCATCACCGCTTTTTTCACTCTCCGCTCACGCCATTTGCAAACCGATCGCGCACTGACAATGGGATACAGCCAATCATCTATTGAATTGTACATCGACTTAATTAATTTCCCATTAGAATTTTCAATACAACTGCCATGTGATTTGTATGGCATTCATTCACTTTAAATGCCACATTCTGTACACTCTCAACCCTTCTTCCAATGCAGAAATGTTAATCATGTCTTCAAATATTCAAACAATCTCGCTCTTCAGTGATAGAACACGCGTCGTAACATCAAAGCTCGCTGAATTTTCTCAGGAAACACTCAAGAAACCCCCGAGACTTCCTCAAATATCACAAGAAAGCATTGAGTGAGAATATTCTAACTTTATGACCTCCGGAAGATGAATAGAGAAATGTTGGGCAACATCGAAAGTTTTATCCAAAAATTTGTATCTTAACGATTTTCTGACCCCTCTAATTCAATTGCACAACACATCCTTCGTCTTCCTTCTCAAATTCATCTTGCCCACAGTAATATCCTACACTCCCCTACAATTTACCCACTGAGGCACTAAGCCGACGAATTTATTGCAGCTTTCATGCATAATAAAACTCCAAGAGATACATCCTTCTCGTGACATAAAACTAATCCACTTGTTCTGGAAAATATCCTCCAATTCCTCCCCACTTTAATACTCAACCACACATTGTCGAATGAATATTCAGCGCTTCGAACGAGCGACTGAGAGCATTTTTTTGCATTCACTGAGTAATACAGCATAAAAAACACAGCTTCGGTTGACACGAAATGATCCAACATAGAAGGGAAATAAAAGTGCTCATAGTAAATAAAAGAGCGTGTGTTGTACAGTTTAGCAAGCACAATGTTGCAAACCAATCTCTTTTAGAGGTGAAATAAAAGGATGAACAGAGAACACATTCAGGGAACAATATGTCTCACCCTCCTCGTCGTCCAGGTCGTCCGCCACGTCCGGTCCGAGCGGATCGAAGCGGACCCGATGCTCAACTGCCGCCTGGGCGGCCGTGAGGAGTTCAGAGAAGAACCGGTGCCTCTTCAGAGCCAATTCGTCGCGACCAATTGGCGTAACAGGTGGCTCTTGAACGCCGCCCTCCTCCCTGCAGCCCACAGACGCACCAAGAACGCCACCCAATGCCAAAGGGGGTTGAAAATAAGGTGGAAAATGAGAAGAATCTCGTTACTTTGACTCACGCACAGTACAGAGGAACTTCTCTCGGTTGAGAAGGGATTACACGAGGAAATGCTGAGGGTTTGTCAATTTAAAATCAGACAGCAAAGTATAGCCACTAATGGTTCCATCATTTCCATGAAGATAAAACTAGGATTTCAACCCTTTTCCAATACTCAAAGCTTCCTTTAAAATAAACACTTCTTCACATCTCTTTATACAGGCATGAAATCTCTATCAACGAAAGAGCTTTCAAGTTGACAAACCCCTCTGCAAATCCTTGCTGTAAAATCGTTTACGAAGAATCTCAAGAATTGGCTCGATTTCCGTCGCATTTCACATTGGAATAAATCCAAAGACAGACTTTGAAGAGCCTCGTGAGAATTCTAGACATTCTCGATAATCTCTCACAAAATCCATGCCAATTCCGGAAATTCCTCTGAAGTCAGCCACCTATAGTCAGTGTTGAACCAATCCGGCAGCGCCACGAGGCCCGGCATTGAGCCCCTCTTCTTCATGTAGGGCGCACACATATCGCCCCTCGGCAGTTGCGGGGGCACGGAATCTGAGAACACCTCGTCATCATCGTTAATGGACGTGAGATCAGATGGCGGAATGAATTCCGTGCTGGCGTTGTAGTTCACTCGCTTCTTGATGGACGACTTCGAGGAGCTGCGCCGAGATAGGCAGCTTCTGGACATCTCCTCGCCCGTGTCACTTCCGTGACCATTGCCTCGACAGTGCAGATTCATTTCCTTGTTTGTCACCGTTGTGGACGTCGAGGACTCCTCATGATCCTCCGTAGAACTGCTCCTGGTTGTCGATCTTATCACAATTGATTCCTCCACAGTGACATTGCTGGCATCACTGCGATGCCTTTGTCTCTGCGAGGCGCTCTCCGAGTCTGAACTCTCATCAATCTTCTCATCTCTGTCATCCTTCTCCTCCTCCTCCTCCCTTTTTCCCTCTTCGTCCTCCTTGTCCGCCTCTTCGGCGACCTGCTCCAGCGCCACTGGCGATTCCTCTGTCACGACCTCACCCACATCCTTGTCCGCTGTTCCATTGCGAGCCGCGTGGATGGAGAGAAATTAATAATAAAAAATGACTGAGACCTTTTTCCACGAAGAAAAATTATTTCATCCCAAACTCAGAGGCGATTAATGCCGAAGGAAAATAAAACAAACACACCTTGAAGGACATAAAATCCCAAAATGAGGAAAGAAAACAGTGGAAAAGAATCCAGATCATTACAATTCAACATGGACGTTGTGATGTCGTTGCGTTAACATTTCTCCGAATTAGCGTCACAAAACAACTTCCATTGCAAAAATTACTGAGTAGTCATTTGATTTTACTGGACTATTCATCGGGAAGTGCACATCAAATTGAATACGCAATATCACTGAAAGTATTCTCATTTCAATCTCATGCATTTCCGCTTTGTGATAGCTGCTAATATTGCACTTTAGCGTGGAAATGTAGTTATTTGTCCTTCGACCGGCTTAGCTTAATGGTATTGGATTCGGACCACGCCCTTTCTGGGATAAAAAGTATCAATCATTGTGGTCAAATCTGTAGTTAAGTATTTAGGACGATTTATATCGAGTCCTTGTCACAGAATTTTTCGCAAAATCATCGCGTGTTTTCATTAAGGATCTGTTGAATATATCGTGCCATTAATTCAAATTGTTGAATAAGACAAATAAAACAGTTGATTATTTACGTGTCTAAATTTTAAGTGGTTGTTCAGAAGTACAACAATATCAAGAATGAATCAAATGAACTAAATTTTTAATATGGGTATTTTATTTTCTCTAATATTTTGACAACTTTAGCACAACGTTCACATTAAATTGTGTTAAAATTCTGGAATTTTCTGTCGAAAAAACCAAAGAAAAATTACAAACAGAGTTGTTTCATCCACAAAATCAAATCCTATCCAAAGAAATCTTTTTATAACAAGAAAAAAAATGTTCCCTTTACAGACACGAGACATAAACATCAGTTTAAGAAATGAGAAAAAGAATTTGTATATATAAAATATGCAATCGATATCCACATCATCGGGTAATTTATCTCCCCCTGTCATAACATACAAGGGTGAAATGTGATAACAGCAAATCGTACCATTGCCTTCCTCGTCAACTTCGCATCCTTTGGCACTTTTCTCCGTCTCGTCATTCAATAAATTTCCATCCTGTGGATCCTTACTCAATTGTTGCGACTCACATGGCACATCCAATGAGCTTATTTTTCCATTATTCTCCTCGCCATTTGCCTTCTTCACCTCCTCAGAGCCAGATGAGTCCTCCTCATCCGTAGACAGTGCCTTTGACCTGGCCTTGCGATTGCCACAGCCACAGCAACTGGCAAACATCGCGCACCCGTCGATGAGTTATCGCTGTGTCAGGAACCCTTGCACTTATTCAAGCTTAATTAATTTCCCAAGCCCCACGCCATCAACCTCACCCGCTCCACCCATAACAGTTTAACAAGCAGCAGCTTTTTTGCACTTTTCACTGGTATATTAAACTCTGTGGAGTATCATTTATGGTTTCATCGCACTTCCATCCAATTCTCGCTCGTCGAGCTCTACATTAATATATTCAGCGAAGAGGCCAAACACACTCTGCACGAGTCTTCTCAATTTTCACCCTCATTTCCTCTCTACTTTATCGAAGATAGCAAAATAATTGGGAAAATTGTGTTTGCTTCAGCAATTTTGTTGTCCAAACTTTTGCTCTGGCCAGAGAGAAAAAAAGGCCTCACGTCCGCTTTTCTCGGGGATTGGGAAATTTGACCCACACTTAGTACAAAAACCACGATACAATTAGACAAATTACGAAAATATTCATGTACATATGTTTGTGAGCGAATCTCATGGGAAATTAACTCATTAAAGTTGATAGAGACGAATTTTCCAGTAATAAAGTAAGTCTAAATTGTTGTGTGAAGTAGTCCCATTTTTCCCCACAGGAATGAGATATTTCAAGGAAAATCCTCTCAACCTCTTAATGGTTTCACCATGTCAACCTTCCGCAAATATCTTCACGTGTTCCGCAGATTTTCTTAACCCTTTACAGTCGGGAGACCAGAGAATAACATTTTCTGGGCAGAAAATGTCATACCAAAGTGATGAGTCTACCAATTGGAACACATTTGTTCTATTGATTTTTTCGAAGTTAGAAGTCTAAAACAATCGTCAATCCATACTTTCGTCTCATGTCGTCCTTAAAGAATTAAAGGTGCCAACAGGGTGTCGTATATTCACACTACATGGAAATTTGAGTATTTCCTTTCACACGATTTGCAAATAATTCACTCGCATGCGAAAGGATGCTACTGAAAATCACCCCTTTCATGACTCCGGCAACAGGTTTCACAAATACACACAGACGCGCCACAAGGAAATGAAACTCTACCCTAAGATTATGCATTGAGAAAGAAATATCTACGGAAATTCTATGCCCGGCATCATTATCACGGTGCGGAAAGAGCGAATGAAGAAGAAGCATCACATTTCCACATGGATATTTAGAAGGTGGACGCGCGCGAGAGTGAAAAATCAATAAAAACATCCCTCAATGCGTTTCCCGCGCCCAAATTTCCAACCGGATTCGGCATGGCAACATGAATCAATAGCAGTAAATTAAAGATGGACAAATTCAATTGAGGTCAGTGCTTGGTCGAAAAGCACATTTTTAAAAATTTACCCATCTTTCTTGCTCATAGTGGGCATTACTTACACAAAATCCCACCCCATCAATCATGATTATGTGATTTTAATGTTTTCATCCGAAAGTTTCTCAGGAACAAGACCCTAAACCTCATTTTGTGCCTTCCCCACAATGATAAACTTTCCACAACTGTAGCATATTTTCTACTAGAAAACTCGAGGCGAGATCTTTTGAACATTTGAGCCGCCCTTCGCACTCCTAATCATCCATCTGTCGCACTCGCCCGGCAATTTGATAAAATCCGTCCCCACATTTAATTCACTTTGTTATCCCACATTAATACCTCATAAATAATTTGCTGGCCTCGCCTTTTCCCAACCCTAAGACAATGTCTTGGGTGAGTTCTCACTCCCCATTTTCTTAAGGCATCCGCCGAGGTGAAATTTGTGTGAATAATAAATTACATTCACTTGACTTAATTCACCATCGAACATATCGAATTGCATGAAGCAGACAAAATCCTCCCAGCATTTACATTTTCAATGTATCATAGAAAATTCCGTCAATATTTGGTCCAAAAGTAAAGCTGCTTCACCTTCGTCCAAATTGAGGGTGTGAGAAGACAAACATATCGGCAACAGTGTGAATGTGATCACAGTCAATTAACTCACGAGCAAAACCGTCAATTGAAAACCTCTCCCTAATTCCCAAAATCCAATAGGTACGTAATGTCCTTTGTCACTGGATTCCGTATCTATCACAAATTCACATCACTTTCGCTCCCTCCAAAATTCGAACTTTGATTGATTGAAACCTGTAAATTTACATTTAAGTGGTATTTCCTATGCCACACTCTATGAAATTCCGCCAAGAAACCGCACACTCTTATCCGCAGCCAAGAGCTCGGCAGCAATTAAAGCTTAAGCGACAAACGAGACTTTAAAGAAGAACAAGTGTTGCTCTACCAAATTCGCCCCCCTTTTCAAGCGCCTGCAACGGTTCGCCCCACTTGCAGGAATGCGTTCTCCACGTTCAACGAACGCCACGAAACTGGATGAACGAGGAAGGATGGAAAAGCTCAACAGCCGAGGAAAAACCCTCCACTTTGCCATCGCATTCCCACCACAGCTCGCTCATCTATTCTCTGCCCCTCCCCTTCAAAAGGAGTGGAAGCTTTGGGGCTCGTGATTTTTGACACACGGAAAGTCTAAAATTTCACACTGAATTCACTCCACACTGCGGGCTCCGAAATACCTTGAATAAATAAATAGAGGGAAAATGGGGAGAAAATTCCATCTTATTTTCCAGCTCTTTTGCTCATACAATTTCATTGTGTGGAGCAATCAATGGTGAGTGTGTGGCTCCTCAACACTGCGCAGAATTGAACATACTCACCAACTTTTAAGGGATACTACGAGGATTTCCACCCTCTCTGTTGCCCCACATTCAAGCTCCACAATTCACACTTCACGCCAAACTTTTGCTAACCTATTATTATTTTTGCAATTGTATTCATCAAAATGTGACATTAGACGAAAGGGCACTTTTAGTTCCATAATGGAAAATATGTAGAAAATGGGCGGGTCTTTTGAGTGGGTTGGGCTTCTTTAAACCCACAATTATTGTCTATTTAACTGGCCATTATTCATTTTCCACTAAAAATTTAATGATAATTCTTGTTGATTTTTCATGCTGAACAACAAAAATTATCTGAAGAAACATATTTCTCCTTTTAGTGTTTTAGTCACACTTATTTTTGGGTGTGTTTTCACACTTTCCTAACTCAGTGTAGCCACTCCAAACGAGATAGGGCCAGAATGATGCCTCTGAAATTATTGTTTACTGAGATTAATATTTTAATACACACGAAAATCGCGCTGTGCTCATGAACCGCCACGCATTCGGTTTGTGACATGCTGTAGGGCAAATAAGAGGCGACTTTTGCTGTGATGAAAGGGACTTTTCACGCGGATAATCTCCTTTTGTGATCACGCAAGAGATTCCATGTCAGTTCCAGAGGCTATTCACCCACAATCTCATCATCAAGTTAAAAATAATATCAATGTGTGCACATTATATGATTGGCAAAGCTAAGTGATAAATAGGATAAAAAGAAATGAACGAAAGAGGGGATGACAAATGTACGAGATTTTTATCATATCGCCCAGCATCTCGGCACAGACACTCTTTTTGGAGCGCCTTCCTTCGTTGGGATGATGTAGTCCAAATAGTATTTGGCATACGGCAACTCATGCGCCGTTTGAGGCACATTTCCACACCCTAAAATCACGCACACTTTCTCTCACACCCTCAACTGCAAAATCTTCTCTGCCTGTGAAAATGAGCCTTTTCACCGTGAATCCCCAAAAAGGAAGCGCCTTCCCAAATCCCCGAATGAGTCCTCTGTTGCACGCACACGAATTTTATCTAGGATTAAGACCACTTTGTCCTCTATTTCCACGGTACAGAATAAAAACTCCATAATCCCACCTTCTGCGCCCCAAAATTGCATAACCGGTGAAACATGCAAATATGTTTTCCCCAATATTACAAAATACTCCTCTCATGTTTTCCCATTCTATATCGTGGGCGGAAAAGAGTACAAATTTCATCTCGCCGACTGTCCCAAGAGTAGCAGAATTTCTGTTCAACAAATTTATTTATACGAATTCCCAGTGGAAAATCACACCAAATCTAGAAAATCCCCGGAAATGTGGATAATATATTTTCTTACTTTCGCACTGAGTAAATTTCAACAAAATTACTTTCAAAGTTCATTCAAAATTTAACCTATATATACCTATTACATATGAGACGAAATTAAATTCGCATCGCGAATAGACTGGAATTTCTGCTACCAGAACTATTTAATATCATATAGACATAGAATTACAAAGAGAAAACACACGCGGAATCCGTTAATATTAAATCTCTAATACCTCGCGCACATTCGAACGTCGTGTGCTTCAGAAGAAAGTATCAGTTTCTTCGTGTTCTCAAACAATTTTCTTTAGCCAACACAAATATATCTTATTTATTCTCTCAATTCAATTTTTTATTCACTTTAACCCTTTCATGCGGATTAATAACATCTCAATAAATCTTTGAAATACATGGGAAAACCTCAAAAATTAGGTGAAACTTCACGACGTCAAAGAGTTAAGTCAAACTGGTCTGTAAATTTCCATCAGAATATTTTGGGAATGTTTATATGCCACGATGTCGAATTCTATAAATTTATAACCAATATTCTTGTGGGAATTCCTGTGGTCTCACAAAAATTGCCTCTCTCCAGCCCATGAATGACCTTCCCTTTCCACTGGATCCCAAAAACTCCCCAAAAAGAGTGTATCAACAAGTTTTCTCCCAAAAGAAAAACAAACCCTCTTCCATCCTGTGTTTCTTATTCATCCCCAGTGTTTTCACTGGCAATTCACCATGTTTACGTAGCATCTGCGGCATCATCTTGTGATTCTTTCTTGCGTGACCCGGCACAGTTGTCTCTCGAGAGCCAGAAACGGAAAAACTGAGGCCGCTTTGCCATTTATGGTAGCAAAGCTGATGTGATAGCGAAACGAGTTTGGCTTGAGCGCCATCGCCAGGTGATTCATGTGATCTAATCTGGGCAATCCGGAGAGGATCAGCCGTGTGGACGATGCACTTCCAGCGGCCGGGAAGGCGGCCAAGTGGGTCAAAGACCTGGAAGGTGACACAGACTCTCGTGCCTTCTTCGCCATCTTCGCGCAATCTGAGCGCATTTCGTGCTCGCCAACATGTGAAATCTCGCAATAACTGTTCTGCCACTCTCGCGATCTGCACTCATTCTGCATCCGGGCTCTCCGCCGCCCGTTCCTGCCCATCCGGAGAGCGAGCACTCGATCAGTGACATCACGCATGACTCACACCCTCGCATCGCAACCATCGCGATAAATTTAGCCACGCTCTGACCGCCAGAGTGCCTGAGCCGCTTGGGAATGCTGAGATTGGTCACTCGCGAGTGGGAAAAAGCCCTCCCACTGAGGAAATCTCTGTGAGAAAACTCCAGTGAACTTGACCTCCGCCGTCCAGAGACGCCGCCATAAACATCCCATTTTCATGCGAAAATACTCCACTCACCTTCTCTTCTGCAGTCTCACAACAACCAAGGAAGTCTTCCGATGGCGAATGCACTCAGAAATGTGGCAAAATGCTACAAATTCACGCTAAAAAAGCACGATAAAATATCACAATCTCACTTGGGAGGGTTATTTTTATTGTGACATTCGGAACGATGGCAAGTAATCTGCAGAGCCATCTCGCGGCAAAAAGTCTTTCGAAAGTGACAACTGCACTTTTGGAAAAGTACAATGAAAACAAGGAAACTAATGCAATTATGCATTTAAAAGCCGCATTTTTATATTATCTTTAAAATTTATTTAAATAATTCTTTCCAAAGGGCAATTTTGACAAATTAGATGCATCCCTGCTGCATCAAGCATGCTTCTTCTGGTCAGGGCAATAAATACTCACTTCAGATGTTCCCCGATTAAAGTTGAAACTGCGAATGATCGCTTTGGTAGTACAAAACTGTATTGCTCACTGATGGATCAAAGATCTCTGTCTTTCGTTGATTGTTTTGGGTGTTGTCTGCAAGAGAAGACACTCTGATAATCCATTCCCCGAGAGAAGGGCTTACCGGAGACTTACTGAAGTCGTCGTTGAGAGAGATGATCTCGAAGGTGGCGGGCGCGGGACTGCTGGGCGTGTTCTTGTCCATCTTTGTGGTCTCTCTGTACTTCTGCAGGTACAGCTTCAGCGGATCGACGTAATTGTCGAAGCCGAGATTATTCATGGCGAACAGGATGTCTTCGCCATTGATGGTCTTTCGTTTCTCCATGTGACACCTGTCGCTGGCCTCGCTGGTGATGAAGGAGATGAACTCAGACACGCACTCTTGCACGCACTCCCGTGCATCCTTGGCAATCTTTCCGTTTTCCGGAATGGCGCGTTTCATGATCTTAGCCACATTGGCGATGGGCAGGAAGCGGTCCTGCTCTCGCAGCGGTTTGCACGATTTGTTGGTATCTGAATCATCAGAGTTGTCCACAGTGTCTGAAAGAGAGGCGCCCCCAAGTCAGAAACCTATCAAGCGAGGGCGACCTTGTCCGGGAGTCGCTCTCCAGTTACCTGATCCTATGTCGTCCGCCGTCGACACCATCACGCTCTCCATCATGTAGGAGTGCTTAAACTCATTCTCTGAGTCCATTTCACCTGAGATTTGTCTAGTATTTCGGTAAAAAAACACTTAAATGACGAGCAAAACAAAACCTTTGTGAACAACAAAACTTCTTGTTGACGTTTCGGGGCAATTGAAGAGTTTCACATACCAGAGTGGACGCGACATCTCTCGGAAAGATTTTCCCACCAAAAGTTTAAAGATTTCTACAGTTCCTCGGTGATTTATTGGTTCACATTTACTGGCTTTTGGCATACGACGTTGGAAATACGTAATGGCAAGCGAACGGACAGAAAAAAGGCAAAAAGAATTGTTTGTGGTTTTATATTGTCTGCATAAATTAATTCTTTACATATATATTTGTCAGTTAATTCATTTAATGTAGTATTTACTTGTCCTTAACGTTAGTAACTCTATAAGGTATTTTCTTCTCATTTTTCATGATAAAATATTTTAAAATGAACTATTTTTGGACATGCCGACGTCTTGTTCTCTACATCATCAAAACTAATTGAGAGAGAAAAAACATCAAAACGCTTGACAAAAACAAATTCTATTAAAATGAAAACAACTGGAATCAGCTCAAGAATTGATCTAATGCGCAAACTTCTGAGGATTCACCTCACAATTATATCCCTAAAAGAACTCGAGGAAAATTGTTCAATCTAATCTCTCTTCTCTCAGTAACATTACAGGATAGTGACAATATTGTACAGATAAATTATTTACAATTGAGTTTTCCATTTTTCTTTAGAGTATTAAGGAAAGGGCAAAAGTTTCCTCTCGTCGTTTCCTCTCAACAATCATATAGTGAAATTATTAACATTTAGACTGTCTTGTCTTCGCACTTTTTGCTAGGTATTTGATTATATTCCGCTCTTCCCTTCATTTCCTATACTTTGTATGCTGAAACACGTTACAATTCTTGCCATTAATTTTCTTCTGATATGTGAATTTTTCACACATTGAAAAATTGACGATATGTTTATAAAAGTGAATTCAAAAAAATCGAGGGAATTTCATAAGCCAAGAATGCAGTTTTTATCGCGAGAGGATTAAATCATAAGATCGCAATTGACAGTTTTTATTATGACTTCTTTCTCAATAATAATAAATTTTTGCCTCATCGTGAGAATCTGTTTTCACCAACAAAATATATTCCTTCTTCTAAGCGTATTCAATATTTGTTAGTTGTCAGAGAAATGGAAAATTTTCGGACTCACCTTTTTTTAAAGTTCAAAAAATCTTTTTCTTTTTACACAACTAACAGTGATTTTAAGATAACAGAATCCTTTACTAATCATTTTACAATGTTTTTTGGGCAATTCTCACTAAATATCAATTCTTTATTTCTCTTTCATGAACTATAATCATTGTTTTAACTATTCATTTAAAATATTATTTCTCCATTTTACTTCGATATCACAAACTCTCCAATTGAAATTATTTACATGGTGAACAAATCAGTAAATTGAAAACTTGTAAGAATTGAGTTTACAACAATTAATAATATAATATTTCTCAAATTCATCACAGAGCATCATTTAACAGGGTGAAGAAATGTCTTTTTCTCAAAAATTCCTTTACACGTTTCTTTTCATGTCAGAAGTGAGGGATTAAGAGAGCAAATCAGTAAAAATCTTGTCTGAGAATCTCTTTCAGTTTCTCAATTAATTTATAGGAACTATCTATTATAATTATAAAATGCCACGATGTTCTATGTACAATTCTTCCAAAACACCTCGTTTCCCTTTCCCAGCAATTGTCCCTATATTTTCTGATGTTCAACCAGGATTTCAACTAATGTTTGTCAATTATGCAGAAATACCAACAAATAAAGGGGTTTTTCGCAACATAACTGAATTGATCAAATTCAAATGAACATCTTTAAGCATTTCCTATCCTTCTTTGTCTTGTGACAGATTCATTTTAAAATATTTTAAACAATGTCCTCCACCTTTCTGCTTCTCTAGTGAATCTTTTCCAGCAATTTTTCCATCACTCTAGTCAAATTCGCGCATTTTTAACCATACTATTTAATGACCTATATAACTAGTTAACATTATTTTTTTCCATCTCTCTTCAATATAATTTTTTTTTTTCATATGAAGAATTCTTACCTTCACATATTAATTGTATGCCCTCTCTTTTGTTTTCTTTAAATGTAGTAATCGTTGTTTTCTACTGTTCTCATCATGATTTTCCTCTGTTTTGGTTTGTCTTTCTCTTCACCTTTAATATTTAATGCATTTGAAACTTTCATAATGGCAAAATTGAAGATAATTTCATGATTTTTTTCGGTAAAATTGTTTTCTCATTCCATTTTGGTTAAATATCGTCTAAAAATTAGACTAACTTGTTGCTTATTGTGTTGATAATATTCCACTATTTCATGTTACAACTTTCGTCTATGTTCTCATTTGCTCATATCATTTCAAAATCGTGGTAATAAATACTCATCGCTACAATTTATTATGATAAAAAATCAATTTATACACTTTTTGGTCATAACAATTTTTTTAATATATATACAATCTTTCATCTTGTATATAAGGATTTTTCAAGTTGTCTATTTCACTATTTCTTCATTCATCGTTTTATTTTAAATAAACAGTTTCATCCCATTCTGCTCATCTAATATTTAAATAACATACATATGTTTCCCTTCTCTTCTCACTTTTAAAACGTTCCAGCTTTCTTTTTACTACTTCATCTCTCAATATTTTCCCACTTTTCCATCATCTCTAGTCAATTAATTCTTCATTTCAACAATTTTTTGTGTATGGCTTTTAAGGCAGAGCAACATAAGTAATTCTTTATATTTTTATTTCATCTTCTTTTTAAATACATATATATTGAATTTTACAATTTCTCATCTCTGTATATAATGTCACCTATCATTTAATTACATGTTTTCCTATATTATGGACTTTCTTCTTCCTCCTTTTTTTCATAACATTGTATCAGTGAATCGTGTATATGTGAGAGACGTTTCATAATTTGTGGAATTATCTTTTTTGAAACTTCGTTATATAGGAAAAATATACATACATATCTATATGAGGGCTGAAGCCGTTCTATTAACCACGAAAATCATTGTAACTCTGAACGAAAGTTTCTTTTTGGGGTGGGAAGACCTCAAGTTCTGTTATACTTCATTTATTTCTAATAATGAATGCGAATTTGTCAACAAACATTGTAATTGCCCTCTGGAAATCCAATTTGTTTCGTAAATACACATATCATTGGCAACAAAAGTCCAAACAAGAGCCTAAAAGCTTTAGAAAAATATATTTTGCAAAGATAATTTCTAAACAAAATCTCTTCTGGTTGTTCCTTTTATGTAATTTATATGAGTGTATATTGAACTTACATCCTAGAAGCGTATAACAACTATCCTTTATATATTTTATTAATTCATTTATATAAAAAGGATGTGTTTTTCTTTCTCTCTCTTTCTGTCTGTAACTATCTGTGTTTGTCAAATATTAAACTCCTCTATAGTAAGATTTACTGACTTTTTGACTTGCCATGTCATCTTTTAAGTTGTGTCTTTCTGCAACTCTTCTTCGTCGCTCTACAAATAATCTTACATTCAATTTTGTTTCAAGTACAGTTCTTTTTATGCCATTTAATGCAATATATTTATATATAACGCTATATATAATTTAAAATATAACGCGAATGACTTCAATGTAACGAATGACATGTTTTTGTTAACTATATTATTTTCCATCTTTTGTATATCAGTGGCAAAATTCTGAGAATTTCTTCTTCTTTACTTGAGAATAAACTTATCAATGCGTGAATTTGGGTGACAAAAATGTGGAAAAATGACTGCAACGATATATAGTAATCTCCTTTCTCACTCTCATCTATAATATTTATCATAAAACATTTTCATCTTCGGGGTTACAAGATTTCTCATCATTATTTCTTTTTGTTAATACCAAAGTTAAACATTTAACTATACAATCTTCAATATTTACACTTCAATGCAATTAATTTCTTTCACTTGTTATTTGAAAACTTGCATCCTTACTATGAATTAAATGAATTTTGAAAAATTACGAACTTGTTCTCTGTAATCAGTAACATCTACAAATATTGCTTATTGCTTTGGATTTTTATTCTTTATTTTTGTCTTTTCATCTTTTTATCCAATAATAAATATCGTGAAAAATTTCTGTCTCAAACCATTAACGTAATTTTAATATTCAATTTCTATGGACTCAAGCGAGTCACGACTGTAATGAAAGATATAAGAGAGAAATTCAGTTGTGAGTGACAAAATGTCTTTAGCAGAAATGCAAATAGGTACAGAGATTTCAAGAAGGGATTCTAATTGGAAAGGATTTCAATATGTCTTTTGTTGCACTTTTATCCGCTCAATGAGAAAGAATTTTCCAATTATTCATCATCCCAGTGGAAACCCAATCAATTCTCCCATCTGAGGCAGCAATCGGGAGTGTATTTCATGTGCCACTGAACACAAATGGAGAAAACTAAATCGATTCGCATCTCAAACGCGCAAAATGGCATCTGTAAATAAAATTGAAGGAAAATTTATTTGTACTTTTTAATATCTATTTGCTCTTCTCGCTCGCTTTCTGCTTATCAATGACAAATTGAGTAGCGGCAGATAAGAGATGCCGACGGAGATGCCATTGCTTATCAGGAAAACTTTTCGCAGCATTTCCATGTGGCGCCAATTTTCAATAAACGTACATTTCTCATTTTTCACCGAGCGCAAATATATGTAGACAGAAGTGAAGAAGATATGTCAGCTCTCAAGAGATACAGTGGGCCGCAAAATTTTGCACAAGTAAGGCAAATATTTAAAAATTATATTCTTCAATTCTTTCGTTATCAATTTTATTTACGTCATTGCAGAATTTATTTTTCGCCAAGCAAGAGCTTTTGAGTGTTGTGAAACACAAATATTTCTCTGGTTTCTTTCCCCATATCTATGTCACAAATTGGGTAATGCTTAGTTTTGCGGCTCACTGTTCGGCAGTTGTAAGTTGCAAGTAATATCTGAAGGGGATAATAATAAATTGAAGCATAGTGTATTATATATGTGGAAATAAAATGAATAATAGAGGATTTTTCTCATTTACTGCTCCTGAAATATTAATCATGATATACAAAATTGATACATTCTCATTTCTCTATTCTCGCTCCTACACCAATTCACTCGCTTATGAAATATGTTTTGTAATAGAGACAAGTTAGTAAATCACAAGTAAAGTGCCGCTATAGTGTCGCAATTTGTGTTCTCAATAAGATTTTTTTTTCATCTTAAAAGGTTGAGTTTTCTCATTTTTAAAATTCTTTTAATATAATATAGCAATATTTTTCATTATATAGAGAATAAGAGGAAGAATATTTCGAAGAATGGTGGAATTCAATAATTTAACTTCTTTTTTGTCTTTTATTTTTAATATAAGAAAATCTTTGCTAATTCGACTACGTTTTTTTCTTTGCCATGTTGACAATATGACTTTATATAAATATTCTTTGTCCTTCACTAAGTATGATTTCATTTATTGAATAGAAACGTTTTTTTTTTCTTGCTGCAGCAATTTTTTTGACAGTTATATTTTCAATATTTTTCGCATACACTTGAATAGAATTTGAAGCTGATCTGGTGGCCATTTCTCAATGGGGATTTCGTTTTTATATGTTATGCATTCAGCTTCGTAGGAATTGTTTTGCTTCTTCGAATGTGGGACTCATGTGGTGATGTTCATTCTCCTTCTCCACTTATGACATTATAAAACAATTTGTCTAGATTCTTTTACGGCTATGTTACGCGGAAATTTGTTCTCCCTCGCCTGACTTGGGGTGTAAAATGTCGTCTATAGCACACTATGCAGTCTGCTGGTAACACTTTCACGCAAGAATTCACTGTTTCTGGGTCATTCTCTCGCAATCACCGATGCTCTCTGCCGAGAATGCTCCCCAGCTTTATTGTATTCCCATCGATTCGTGTATAACTCTTCTGCAGACGTGAGTTACCACTCTTGTACGCTTTAATCTCTTTCGGATGCTGCTTGAGAGATGCACGCGAGACTGGAACTTAGAACGGGCACTCAATGACATCATACTCGAACATGAGTGACACGGCGACGAAGACAAAGTACAGCAAGAACATGGTTAGGCCGAGACCCTTGTTCATTCGCCAGCGGAAGCAGGCAATCGACAGGATGACAAATAATAACATCATAAATAAAATCGTAATTGAACAAACCATTCCGACCGAATTCACTTTGACCGGCTCTCCATAAATTATGGCGTACAGCAGCCACGGAACTGGCAATCTAATTGTCCGTTGAGGTGGATTTTGTGGGTGTGCCACAGCATCACAGCGCAGTTTAGATGATTCCATTCACCCAGGGCGGCCCAGGATGGAAGGACAAGAAAATAGAGAGGTTAGTTACGCAATTCAATTTTCCATACATCAAACACTCTTGAGAACACGACACTATTAATAGATGCACCACAATCAGAGTTGGAATTGAGCAGATGAGATTGAAACGTGATAACTGCCACGAAGTCCATCCAGCTGTAAATGCCATTCATGTAATTGTATCTTTCTTGTGCATTCAGAGCGTGTCTGAGTTCTAAACAAGACGCAATATTTACTTATACCATATTAAATGAAGAGATTTACAGCTGTTTATGCGACTCATTGAGTGGTTTTGGCATTTCATTTACCTCACGTTCATTTTACGCACAGGGAACATTGACTAAATATGCCCAATATGCCCTGAGAGCCGTTAAATCCACATCACTTGATAGCACAGTTTAGGCCAAAAGAAATATCAATTCCAAAAGAAAAGTCAATTCTCAAATAAATCTCATGGAGCTACATAACAAAACAGACCTATCGTTTCTTCTTTTCGCCTTAATTTACTATTTGCTTCTCAAAGATTGCTTTCAAAAGACCCCAGTTGTCATTTTTCAGTAAAAAAAAAAGTTCTATTAGCAAAGAGTTATGACAACTTTATAGGAAAATAGTGAAAATACATGATATTTCCATTTATTTATAAACTATATGCCATCGATTAGAAAGCAAACATTTAAATAGCAAGCAATAAACTGAATAATGTCGAAAAAAGCATTCATGTTATCTCTCAAAATATTGCACTTGCATTGGGAAGTATGACCCAAAATGCGTTCCTAACAATACTATTCTATTGATTTTCTCCCGCAAAAACAGTGGAATTGCTGAACATTTAAACTGTTCAATGATTTCGGTGGATATACTTAATTTTAGGTGCTCTATTGCAATTCTGATTGGTGATGTGTATAATAGAGTAGGGGCGACTTACCCGACGGTCACGTCGAAGATGTTGCTGCCGACGGAGCTGGAGACGGCCATGTCGCCGAATCCCTTTCGGGCCACAATCACTGAAGTGATGAGATCCGGAATTGAGGTGCCAGCCGCTAGGAAGGTCAGTCCCATCACCTGCAAAGTCGCAAGAACGCATTGGTTTGGAATCGTAGGGAATATAGGCTCTGATTTGGGCTTACCTCGGGTGGGATGCGGGCAGTGTCTCCGGCGATGTTGGCCCACCATACCATGAGGTAGGAGTAGGCAGCAATCCAGAGAATTGAGCCGATGAAGGTCACCGGGAAGAACCTCTTCCCTCGCGGTGTTCTCGTGTCGGGGAGTGTGAGCCACAGTGGAAAGACGATAGGGGCCACCAGCAAATATGTTATCCGCTTTTTCCCTGTACTAGGCCACGACATACTGAGCGCCTCTGGCTCCTCCTCAATCTCATTTCCCTGTTGTAATAGATAACCCTTAAATAGCAACACAGGGTCGAGAAAAGAAGACAACAAATCGGTCAGTCAGATGGGGGCATCATTCACGGCATATTCTGTAGAGCCTCTCCACTAAATAAGCCACACAGAGAGACCAACTTTCTGGCCACAAAAAGAAGATCACACGAAAAGCGCCACTGAAGGAGGTATAAAGTGGACACACACAAGTACGTGATCAATAGGTGTGAGTGAGAGGAGTGAACTACTTTGAGAACATTAATTGGTGGTACTTCCTGATGGTGTTTCTCCAACTCTTCATATCTCAAGTGGGTCTTCTTATTCGATGGCAAATTTCTTGCCCCGGCTCGCCCATAAAAGAATCATTAGCTTTAATGAAATTTTTTATGACGCTGTATCACTTTAAAGAAACAATTACAAAGTCAAGAACGTGATTTCTCCCTTGGCAAAAGCATTTTGCTATATTATAGTAAAGCTATAACAAGCTTTCAGCGACTCAGAATTTTAACGTTTACAAAAATCGGATGAAAACTCTAGCATTTATAACGGTATAACATGACGTGGGAAAACTAAATTCTACTCATTCTACGCGGTCCTACGAAATAAGGAGAGGCCTGTGTATTTAAATCTAATACTATAGCTATAGAATAGATTGCAGAAATTTTCTATGTCTCACGTTATAACTTAAGTTATAACAGTGGCTGTTATAAGTGTATTATCGCTCTGTATATACGGGTAAATTAAGAGGTAAATTATTACTCTGGAAATTTTAGCTATTGAAGTGCACTCTTCCTGCATTTATCTGCCATCATATCCTGAAGGAAAGTCCATCCATAAGGTGGATCATAACTCTTTGCAGCAATTTTAATAATTTACCAACAAACTCCCATCACAATAGAATATTTCAGCAGATAAATTTCACAGAAGCATGCAAGCTTAGGGACTGCAGACGAAGGAGAGAGTCTGACGATGGCTGCCTTAATGGAGTAGCAAGTTTTACTGCCACACTTTCGACTAATTTCTGTGTGTGACACTCTCTGGAAACCCCCACGAAGATGTTCTTAAATGCATTACACAGGGATGCATTTTGCGCTCAAATTTCTTCAATGAGAATTTAATGGCATCATCACTGTGCTTCCCGATGGCATGAACATATCACGTTTCTTCTTCACATCAAAAGCTCTCTGTCTCTTGGCCCCCAAACCAAATTCACACAGCCTCCAAGTGCAGATAAAAAAGATGTGTTATTAATGAAAAGCTGTCTTTTTATGACCCACTAATACAATCTATTTCGACATTGAATAACACGCTCATGCTGGGTGTTTAAAATTCATCTCAAAAGCTCATATTTTTATAAGACTTGGTGTTGTAAAAAGTCAAGGCGAATCATGGTTTAGCATTGATTTTTACCTCTCACTCCCGCCGAAACAGCTTTGAAATGTCAAAAAATTGTCGGCAAAGCACTTTTTTGTAAAAAAAAAATTTACCATTCATAATTAATGAGTGTTATTCTATTTAACTTTCCCCATGAGATATTTCGTAGAGTAGAGACAGGGAAATAAATTATTAAGAGTTTGAAATAAAAGAAAAGCCCCATATAACAGGGAAACAATTTTCCTGGGGAGTTTCTGACTCTCCCGTGACCCATGTTCCGTGGATTTCAGCACAAATTGATGACGCTGGCATTTGAAAAGTTAATTATGAATTCTGTCGTTGGGACTGGGGAATCTCTCCGTCAGTGAAAAACCCACACTTTCTGCTTAATTTTCATGTCGACTGAGCGATAAGCTATTTCCTACCATATTCCATTAACTCTCCTCGCTCCTAATTCATCCGTTCTTCTTCCTTGAGGGTGGAAATTATGAAAAGCGCCCATGCCAGAACCAAGCTAGTGCACAAGTCCACTGATTGCAGTGAAATGTGTAACATTTGCATTAACATCAGTTGCAAAAGGAGATTTTCAAATTGGAGAAATCATTTTCCCGTTCGAAGGGAGAGAAAGTGAACTTGAAATAGCCCAGAAAACTCCCCTTCAAATCTGGAATAACACACTACAAGTATTATTATAAACCCATCTCATTGTGATGGGTGATATTTTGTTAGGATTCCTAGAGGATGCCTCCAATATTATCATTATTATTATTATTACTATCCTGCCCACATAACGTTGTATTTGATTTAATGAGCAAAATAGTTTGGGGTGAAAATTTTAAAAATACAAGAGTAGTTTCCACTATGGAAATTTGAATCCCTTTTTAATTAAAAGATTGAAGAACAAAAGAATAATTACCATAATGGAAAAACTTAAAGCTTCGAACAGGATTTTTCTCTCCGTTTTTTGCGCACTTCACATTTCCATGATAAAAAGGATCTTTTGAAAATGCCCTCAATTGCCAATGAATTTTTCCATTTGGCTCAGCACAGCTCCTGCATTGGCATCAGATGGGCAGGAATGCCAAATAATCGAACAAAAATAAATAAATAGAGGACATGGGAAGTGGTTGATTGTCTCCCATTCGTTATGTAGAGTGGAGAAATTACAAAGTGGGAAAATACGTGACTTGACCCAAAGTATCGGAGAACCATACAGGCCACCCACAATCGAACTCGCAGCGAGTGTGTCATAATATTTATAATATGAAAGTGATGGGAAATATTAAAACGCCTTATGAATTATGTGCGATGTTTGTGCATTCAGTGTGCGTGGGGATAAAAGACAAAATAATAAAGTGCAGCACAAGGAATATCTTTGCTCTGTTGCGAGAAAACTGCCTTTAAAGCTCAAAATATATAGCTCAGCATAAGCACGAAATGGAAAGCTCTCGTTCTCTCCTCGCTTTTTTCCTCCTTTCACATGGGAAACATTCTTTACGATGCTGAGGGAGAATCGCGTCGTTAAAAGAGGGAAAGAATACTGGCGAGAGGCGCACAAGAGCCACATTGTCTCAGCTAGAAGTGTGGGCTTGAGGACAGAAACACAGAGACGAGGTGCGCTTTAAAACGGACACGAAAATGCGGTGAGTGAGTGGGTGGGCAGATTTGTGCTGGGATGGACTCACCGAATCGAGTCGCGTATCTATATTTCCATTAGGACGATCGCTAGCTAATGTCGTTTCTTTTAGGTTAATCTTAACGTGATTTGCGGCTGTGGAGGTGGCAGCTCCTCTTTGTGGTTTCGTGGCGTCCAGAAGCACTTTAAGGGAGGCAATGGCATGCAATTGTGTTGCTTTCTCATCCACTTTGCCTGCAAAGAGAGGGAGAACAAACACGTTAGAATAACACCCCTTCAGCGCCGTCACATCATATAATTTTTATGGATTCTCCTTCTCGCATAAACACATGAAATTTAATGGGTAAATCAACTTTTTCGTGCCTTCACTATGGTAATGCTCGAAGCGGCTGTTTGGGTGTTTCTCGCTAGACAAACCTCACCCTCTTCCACTTCACAAAATCAACCAGATTGAAAATTCCAAGAGACAACTACACAAAACTTAGGAGCACAAAAAACACAGCAAGATTATTTTGAAAGACATAAATCCAAGGGTAAACTTGCACAGAACTTTTCAGGATTTGCGGTGGTCCAAATCATACGACTGCCATTGTTTTTATTCGTCACACCCAAAACTGTAATACACAGTTTCATAATACATGAACAGATATGAACTGAGTTAATTGCTTTTTGCTATCATTGTCAATGCAAAACCAATTTTTGCGGTTGACAATGCAACGAAATGTACAATCTAAAAACACAAAACTTCCATCAAAAGCATGTATTGATTCTGATATTGCTTCTCATGCATGTCTAATTGAGTTTATTCAGTCTAATTGGCAGGAATTATTAAGATTCGGTTAAAACTCTGTGAAATTTTAAAATTAGTAATCATATAGAATCTAAAAAAAATTCACCAAAATTTCTTAACATTCAATTTAAATTCTTAATAGACGAATATAGTTGTTTCCTCGATACGATCATCAATAATAGAAGAAGGCAATTGTGACATAAAATATCTATAATCCAATTATGGTATCAAAGCTCAATTGGTTATTAGAAACTTTTAACTCTTGCCGATCAATTTGACGCTACTTAAACTTTGACTGAAGAACTTTGCAGTTTCTTATGCCAGTCTTTCTCAGTGAAATTTTCCCCTGAGCTCTTTCACAGCAAACTCGCTTGAATGGCTTCTATTATCCCACTCGTGAAACTCCTCAATGCACCAACTGCAGTGCCGCTGGGTGGCAAGCGAGAATGCTGAGTTCCCGAGGGCGCGCGAAGGAAAGATGCTGGAGAAGAGAAATTGAGATGCTTGACTCACCATCATGAAGTGGATCAATGGTGTGTATCATCAATTGCAACAGTCCGTGGCGGAATTTGGCGCCTGTCACTGTACTCGTGCCAGCGCTGGTGCCAGTTGCTCCGCTACTCGATCCAGGTGGCCCAGATCGACTTTCGGACGCAGCCCTAGAAGTTACAGAACCTCCAGGCTGGGTTGCCATTGACGTTTCAGATGAATTGGCCGCATTGCCCTGCAGTTCAAATGTCTGATTATTCTGTTTGACGTTGAGGGTTGGAACATACAAAAGAGAAAATGCATCTAATTTTACTCAATTATGTACACCGAAGCCGAACCACAAAGCAAACTAGAGAGAGAGAGATTCCATGAGAAGGGGGAGATGGTTAATGAATCATTATGCTATAACACTTAATAATATACATTTAATATTCACTCGATTATTACAATGTAATGTTATGTGTTGTGTGGAGATGTGAGATCATGAATGAGAGAGAGAGAGAGAGGTTCTTAATCTACATCATGGTCACACTGATTTCTTTATCCTTCATTTGTACCACCTCAACTTTTCCTTAGGCTCTTGCCTCCACTCTTTTCCACCCTCGCGCGTCCTGTGATAAGCATCACAATTTCGTAAATGGCTCTTTAATTATTTACCACACAGCCTATATCCCAATTTTGTAGTTTTTTATTCGGTGCTCTCCCCAGAAAATTGCTCAAAATCTATTTATAGGTCAAAATAATTTTTCTCCATCAATGCAAATTGATTGGCAAGTTTTATTTTTCACTCACCCTCCGTAGATGCCAATAAATACATGGATTTTCCATTCTGTGCCCATCCAATCAGGAGTATTATTTGTTGTTAAGGTATACCTCACGGGGAAACCATGTGAAAACACATCGCGCTTTCCAAATGAATTGCACAACACGGTCAAACTTTTCAAGGTGATAGAAAAATCAGTGTCCAAATGGCATGAGGGAGTATTTAATTAGGCAAGGTCTATAAATTTGTTTGTATGAACATTTGTGTTAAATTCATTTACATATTCAGGCATCATTGAACGCTCACTAATGACTTCTATCAATTATACTTGAATATACATACATATGTACATGGAAAGGGTTTTAAAGAATTTTATAAACCAACCAAAAACAGATAATAATCACAGAAATTTATAAACACACGACGCGCAATTTTCGACCAATTATTATCTAACATCAATCTATTTCTATTTCTATTCTAATCGACTTATATTTATTATCAGCAAACATTGCTTTTCTTAAGTTTGGACCAACAGTTTAATTATAGATAAATAACACCTACTTCAATTTAGCCAACATCAAAGATACTGATTACATATTTTTGGATTCACGTGGGTTTTCGCATTGTTTCAGCTAATTTTAGCCATGATTGAAGGTATCTCTTAAAAAGCAAGGAGTCTGTTAGTTTTGTCCTGACCAAAATAACCACTGAAAAGTCGTTAAATTGTGGGGAGAACATCTGATACTATATTTCGTACGACTTGAATATACAAAATTTAAATTGAGCCAAGTGTTAGAGGAGCGTTTTATGACACATGAATATTCAGGAATTAATTACAAGGAGACTTTCTAAATTACTCCACATAATTCACCTTATCTGCAAAATGAAATACTTCAGCAAATATTCCCACAGTGAGTGTGTGTGTGTGGGAAAGAAAATTTCGTTCAACAATCCTTTACCTTTGATTTATGTAACATCGAAATGTACAGGAAAAAATGTCTAATTTACAATTGAGCAAATGCCGTGGATGGTGAGTGTGTGACTGTACATTTTTTGCAATGCAAGGAAAATGATTTGCAAGGCATACAAAATCTAAATTTGACAAGGTGGTGGGAAATGATGGTACAGACACAATCTCAAATTAATTAATTTAATTGTCTAAATGCACGGGAAAACACTTAATGACCAGGAATGAAGAGAGGACAGAGAAAGAGAGAGAAGTGTTAAGCCACAGTTGGATACACACAGAGCCTCGGAAAATGTGGATGGGGTGCCAGAGAGGGCGCCCACGCCCCATAAATGCATATAATGTGGAAACTCTGTTGTATGTGTGTATGTTCTATGGAGGGCTACCAAACTACAAATTATGTTGACGGAGAGAGGAAAATAAATCGAATAGATTTGCGCTGATTCATTCCCACTTTGAGAATCCTTTGGATTTCCTACGTGTTAATTTTTCATTCGTCTCCACGTCTTGAATTAATTGCACTCACCATGAGCTTTTCTCTCCCCCATTCCAAGAGAGCTTTCATTCTATCCGCGCGTAGTCATCCTTTTCTTTGCAGAGGAAAATTCTCTGACACGCGGTTCATGGGAAAAGGGGCCTTTTTCGAGACATCGCAATAAGATATGCGGAAGTGAAAGGAGAGAAGGGTGAAAGCTACACGACAAAAGGACAATAATCAATCATCTGTAAGCGAAAATTTCATGATTTTTCCCCAACAATTCATCCAGAGAATGGCAGAAGAATTTGCCATATCTCTTCCGGATTTTTTTTATTCTACAAATTCGTACACTCTACAATTTTACACTATGAACACAGTCGTCAGAACTTGAATAGATATGTCTTAAAGAATGCAAGAGAAAATTTATGAAAGTCATTACAGAGAAATCATGGTTATTATGCAAAGTTCTGGTATAATTTGGTTGTCACTAAAATCAAAGCTCTAAGAGGATTTCGCAATAAATCACTTGCTTGTTATGCATAATTTGCATTAATGCAAACCATTCTTCATTGTCAGAATTTTCAAAATGAACAATCATTATAAAGTTAGTGAAGATAAAATATTCTCAAAAACACAAAGCAGAAGTATGAGAAACTATATTTGAGCTCAAGCTTGAAGCTTTTAATAAAATTGTGTTTTCTTTTCGATACGAAATTTCAAAATAGTTTTTTCTTCCTTTTCAATTAGCACTAATCAATTTAAACTTGTCACACAGTTTCCATGATAGTTGCGAAAAATATGAAATTAAGGAAAACTTGCGAAAGCTCATCGATAACATTCGCATTACAGTGTCATAAAGTTTTCAGTTCAATTTACAATTAAATAATCATTGCGATGCAGCAAAGTTTCAAGTGAAACCATTTTCATTTCCGTCACTTGGCAAACAACAACGCGCTCAAGTCGAACAAATCAATTGAGGTGAAAAATAGCTTTGGAGGAGAGCTTCACAGGCGCTCTCGAAGATGTCGAGAGACATGCGAGGGTGGTTTAAGTGGATTGAGAGTACTTTTTCGGGGCGCATACAGAAAACTCTCCCAGATAGCATAGACAACACCCAGGCAAAAGGAGCCACGCGAAAGAAAACATGAAGAAATCGCGGAAACACTAACATAAAATTGCAAATGAAAATTTTAATCTCTATCATATACATTCAGATATAACATTAGGAACGACACTTAATGTACTTTGATGGTCGGAGATGCGGGATGAGGGATGGGATGTGGCGAAGAATAGCAATAGCAGCAACAGCAGCAGAACATTAACGGTCGTTTTATATATCAAGCACATAAGGGAGGATTTCGGGGGAGGAACTGGGGCCTCTTTTGTACTCCTCGACGAGGGAGGTGGCAAGAGATGCTTTCCATACACACTAGTCCGCCCCAGATAGGAGACTATTGTGAGCGACAGCGAGGGATGTTGTGGGGGCGCAATTCAATGCCAGGAGAGAAATCCTAGAAGGATCCCCAACCTCTCGTGTGAGGCTCAAAGTGAATGTTTCAGGCGAATGTAATTAATTTTATTGATTGATTAGGAATTAACTTAGGAATCACAATAGTTTGCCTTCTTTCATCGCTTTTAATGTTGTACGAAAACGACTGCAATAAAAACTTCGGCAGAGCTCTGCAGGGATGAGCAGCAGCATGACTCTTGCCATTTTCCTTACACGTGTCACTTGTGGTACTCGGGAATGTTGGGAAATTAGGGCGTTTCTTTTCAAACCTATTCTGAGTGTTGCACATTAATTAGGTGTGAAAATCTAGTTTCTATCTATTAGTCTACATTGACTATTTGTAAGGACTTATTGATAGATTCTAGGGAAGAATTGGAGATGTAAACTAAAAATTATTCTATTTAAGTGACACATTCATATTAATGGTCCGGAACGGGTTAAAGACTCATTCCACAATGTTTACTATGAAAAGAGTAGAGAATCATAACATCCCTGCCTTGCCTCCTTCAATGGATGATATTAAAGTATCGCCAATGTTGCCGTCTTTCGGCCAAAAAGCCCTTTATCGGCCTCGTCGGACGTCAATTGAAGGCTTTCCTATTCACTTCGTCTCACTTCCTGCCACCTCGCATTGTACGGACGCGCGAAAGGAGGCGGCCCTGTCATGTCTGGGGCATTTGGGCTTTCGGGTATGTCATGTTGAATCTCTTCCCCGAGAAGACCCCTCTCCCGGCTCCATCTCTCGCCCTGTACATGTCTCAGGCGATTGTTCGACCATCCAGACGAACAGTGGGAAGGAAGCTGGCTAAATGGCTTTTGGATCGTGTCCAACTTCTCTCGCAATTTTTTGTTCTTCATCTTCTCGCCACTTTGTTGATTTAGCACCACCACGTAGCCACGGGTCAGAGTGTGTGTCTGTGCGGTTGGCCAGGAAGATGTTTCCTGGGCAAGAAGGTGTTTGGGGGTGGGGACTAATCTGAGCTTTGGTCGAACGGGGGGATGATCACACAACATAGAAGCGACACAGCATTCTCTCAAAAATTACTCAATTCGGGCGGGATTGGGATCATTAAAATGCTGGGCACTTGGCGCTCTGCAGCCCTTGTCAACACACTCTAATGGGGCAGACAACATAGCAGGATTTAAGGGGACAAACACTGAAGATTAGTTGCATGAATGCCCATGAATATCCATCTTTTTTATGGGGTTTTCTTCTCTCTTTTCATTTCTCATGAGGCGCGCGCGAGAAAAGTGTCATCATTATGGCATGTGTGAGAGATTTATCTGTGTATGTCTGGATGCATGGCTTGTTGGAATGTGATCAAATTTGTCTGTTGTGTGTACTGTTGGATGTATGAATCATATTTTTGCTTTTTATATGTGTCACTGGGAGAGAGAAAATGTTGAGAGAGAGACAGAGATTTGTTGGAGAGATCTATCATGCTGGTTGTCAACTACTTACTGCAGGCATTAGTTGATCAGTGCTTCGTACTCTGGTCACCTTGTTCTTGTAGATAAACTTTTTCACGCACCGCTCCACCTGCTGGTTCCACTTCATGAAGCTCACGTAGGCGGCGTAGACCAGGAACAGGATGAGCGCTTCCCACCATTCGATGACGTTATCACGAAAAAACCATATGAGAATGATGAGACTGGTACTGTAGAAGGTGCAATCGCGGAAGAGGGGCCACCATGTGAGGGTGAGTATCGTCTTTGAGAATAATGCACACATGCCGATTACGAATAATATGTTGAACACCGCACTACCGACAATTGTACCGATGCCCACATCATCGAACGACACAAACACACCAATGACACTGGTGAATAGTTCAGGAGCACTGCCTCCCGCCGCCATGAACGTAGCGCCGGCCACGTCGTCGGCGATGCCCAGCTTTTCGATGATGACATCCAGTGAAGGCACAAAGAACTCGTCGCAGACTATCGCGAGAGCGACAAACATGTAGATGACACCAACTATGTGAAAGATAACAGCACCATTTCGACGTTGCTCCAATGTGAAGAGGTCTTCAGGAAACAGGGGATCCTTGTGCGTTTCATTATTGGTACCTGCAATGATAAGGCGGAGACACGAGGATTAATTTCTCTCATCAGGCAAGAGATGAGGAAGAGCTCAGAACTCCCACAAATCAGCGTGGTAAAATTTTATGATTTACTTCTCGAGAAAAGCTCTGTCGCATGCTCAAAACTTGAGCTCTGATAGATTTTGCCTGGATTAGGAATTTTGAGTGGCATTGAAAATATGAGTAAATATTGTTTATGTTGTAAATTGACAAACGCATAACTAAAACATAACTGCAAATTTATCAAAATCAACAAATTTTACATAGCAACATTACAGTATATTGAAATGAAAAAAATTATTGAGAAAATTTATCATTAATGGATCCATTTCAGAACTTGAACTTAATAGGATTAATATTTTCTCGGAAATACAATATAAATGGAACAATACTGAATTAGAAACATTTTGGAATACCACGATATAATAAATAGGAACGTAAAACGCTATATATTGCATATAATGAATAGTATGACCTAAATTATATTGCTTTACAGCGCTTTTCATCTGGTAAATTCAATATAAAGTTCACGCTTTAAACTGCAAAGTTGTCATCTTATTGGCTCCCGGCCTCGACATATGTCACTAATCTTGCCCAACTACGTGATCTGTTTGTTGTATTCGGCTAGAATGCACTTAAAAGCGTGATTTATTGAACATTGGGTGGATTTTGGGTGCGAGTCAAGGGGATATAAATAATATTTGGAAATGCAATCAATAGCAATCCTCCACGGACATCTCGTCAAAGCCAACAAAATTGCCAGGAGTGTGCATATAGGAAATTACAGTGCTGAATGGGAAATTTCGTTGAATTTTGCGTTGAGATTCGGCCCAATCGTGGGTGCGCTCTTTCGTGTGAAGCCATGAATTTTTCTCACTCAACCTTCATCGTAATAATAGCTCGGGCTGAAACTTATTCAAAGTTCATCCGCAGTATTAGGACTTTTGAAGGAAGTCGCGCGCTTGATTCGCCTCGCTGGGAATTAGGGGCTAATTATTGCGTGCAAGAGTCACGCGTGATGATCAGGAGAGAGTTGACACTTCCATTGAAGCGGTCTTATTAGTCACTTATTTACACTCTTATTGACACCACCGTCACAAACCATTGATAGCAATGAGGGCCTCGTCCAATTGATGGATTAGTAGAATTTGGGGGAGTTCTCCTCCCGAAAGGCTAAATCATTTCAAGAGTAATTTGTGCTATAATGGAATAAGGTCACAATTTCCACTATCTCGCCCTCTCGCTCGCACTTGGACTCGGCGGAACACGGAAGGAATTGTGGGTGAAAAGCTTCAAGGATGGTGTGGAATGTCTTAAGAGTGCGCGCGTTCAATTCTCACTGAAATTTCTTGAACATGAACACCCCCACCAGGCCGTTCAATTAATTAATTTCTTCTCTACCATTTCGCCAAAAACCACTATAAATGCCTCGCTCTGTCGTGGCTTTTTTCTGCCTCCTTGGCCGATGAAGCGATATATGTGTGTGAAACACATGGGCGCTCTCCTTATGAAAATCCCCGTGGCACGGGAAGTTGGATACAGATGGGAAATATTGCTATCTAGGCCCACCTTCAACCTGATATTCTTCAAAGAGGAAATTTCTCAGTGAGTGGAAGGGTGGGAAAAAACAGAGCTTGTCTCACGCTCTCCGTGTTTGTATTTTTCTCTCTCTCGCGCGCGCGAGATTATGTAATCTCAACCACGGTTTTCGGGGTGGCGGAATTTCAATAGACAGGCCCAATATAATGGGATTATCTCGGCGAGAGAGGGATGTTCTGGCTGATACCAGGCCACCATCGCCATCAAGCCTTATGGCTCACAGTCAAATCATGCCCTCTTCCGCCACAAACTACATATAGTGTGTGCGGAGAGAGCTTTGCAGAGGGAGGCTCTGTTTGGATCGATACGCACGTCACTGGGAAATTGAGGGTCTTGAAAAAATGGCAAGGAGAGTCACTTTCACCGAAGCTGGGCTTCCCTACCATTGGGTGAGGATCCGTTGATGACAATGATGGTTGCGGTGGCGTTTTCTGGGTCGAAATCCAGGTGGTGGCTGTGGAGGTGGTCGGCGACTGTCTGCGACGGCAGGACCAGGCTGACGGCCACGAGTCCCAAGATGACTCTGAGGAGAATGATCACGAGTGTCCGTGGCCTTTCGACCGCCTGGCCAGCCTCTGGGGCGTCTCTTGGGGGCCCCATTCTACAAAGTCCACTGTGCTGTCTCAAACAATTGAGTCTATCATGGATTGCTGCTTTCTATCACTGTTCCTGGTGACATGGCTGTGCCTCCACCCCGCCTCACGCAACTCCACCGCACAGGATGGTTTGTCCCTTGAATCACGCCTCGCCTCACTTCGCCTCCTTCGGTGCCTCTTCGTCGGTGGTGCTGCTTCAACTGGCCCAGAAAAGGCTCTGTCCCACCTTCTCCTTTTGGGCTCCGACTCGTCCCTCTCGCGATGTGTAATCTGCTCCCCAGGAAAATCGCAGGCAAAAAGGAGAAAAGCAAACTCTCGTTCACCCTCGCAATGAAGCACTTGTGTCTAATCTCAGCTGAACTCTATGTGAGCCTGCTCGCCCCTGCGATTAACCACAAAGTCCCTTATCGCGCTACTAGTATGCGGCCCGAGGTGTTGAGAAGAGAGAAAGAATTGATATATTATCGTGAATTGGTGTGGCAAAAATATATGGATTATCGTGTGGAGATGTGTCTACCGCAATGGACGCGCACAAACTACTGTGCAGACAGGACACGGAGAGGCACGAAACCCCACCGCAGGACCCCTACTTCCCCGCCATTTCGCCTGTGTGCGTGAGGAATTTGTCAATACCACGAACACCCTCACAGCCGCACTTCTCCTGCGCGGGGATGTCCTTTTTTGCTACCCAGCAAAAGTTTCAACCTGTCCCAAAGCCATCGGGAAAAGGTCTTGTCTTCACCTCAAGTCCTTCAGCCACAATACTCGAAGACGTTGGCATGACTTTGAGGATGAAACCACATTGTGGCAGTGAATCGTCAGACCGCGGAAGGGATCAATGATGTCCTTCCAGCGAAAGGGAGGGAGAAAGACAGCCTTCGTGATTGCTGAGAAAGTGGAGGAGTTGTGAAGGAAATTCCCGAAAATAGACGCGTATACATAGATGAGTGTAAACGCTGTTGGTATCAAAGATTCTTAGATTAACCATACCTAAAGACTTGCGCCGTTTAGATGTGATTGTAATTGCGATGTTTTCATATTACAGAACCCGATTATAATTCAGAAAATAATTACCACGCAGATCAGTTGAATTTAGACACAAAAGGGTCAAAAACCTACCTACTTCAAGTATTTATTGGTTCGAAGCACTTAAACATCCTATCAAAAGTATCGAAATCAAATGACATTGACTATTAGACAGGCCCAACTCCTTTAATTTTATTTCTCTCTTCTTCAAACGTACAACTTTAGGTTGGCAAATTCATATTTCAAAGTATTTAAGAAGGAATCAAATAAATTTAAACCCCGAGTCTAGCCAGACTCAAAATCCAGCACCTTTCTCCGATTCATCATAGCCACTCTCTCAAGCCATCTAAATCCCGAAATGGTTGTCCAATCTGAATACCAAATTGGATACATCTAAGAAAATCGAAGAGACCACACATAGCTGTGATTCCTATAGTATGGGATGGAGGAAAAATTGTGGATTTTCAGCGTGAATTGCGCAGTCTCAGCCGCTCTGGGTTCAATACGATGCAGAAAGTCCAAGTCTTGCGTATCCCGACGGGAGTCTGACACAGTCGGTAGGGTGTGGAGGCATCGGCGAGAACGCATGGGGCACCGCTTCGCGCTGACCTGAACCCGATCCAGCCCGGAGGCGGAAAAGGGGCAAATGGGTGGGAGGAAGTCAGCGGATTTTCCACGAGACCATCCGGCGGGCGCTTTTCGGCGGCGGCAGGCACACGCTCTCCGAAACTATATCTAGGGTATACGAGCAAAAGGCATGCGCTCTCCTAGGCCAGTGTGGCACAAACAGGAGCTGCCAGGGGGCGGGGTGCTGTAGACACTCTCGTGTTTTGCTACAAATTCAATTCAAATGGACACGGCGCGATCACGCGGCCGGGGGGCGTCTGGCCGTTTCATAAATTACCCATTAGTCAATACTGCACGATTATGCACATTTTCGCGATGTGGCGGCGCGCAAACGGCAGGCCAATTCCCCATACACCATTCAACCGATATAGCCTGCCATATAATGATGTGATTTGAAGGTTGCTCTATTGACCGGAAATATTCAATGGGGAGTGAGTTGAGGCTTTCGAAGCCCTCGCACTTTTCCACATTGCTTTTCAGTCACATTTCAAGAAGTGAAGAAAAACCATTTTTGGCATGGTTTTGCGTACTTGATTCTGTAAGTAATTATTAAATTGAAATGAGGATAAATAGGAGAATGGCAATTTTATCCACTGCGTTTTCCTTCAACGATATAAAAAGACTACAATAAAAATACCACGCAATCAAATATCTCTTTATTTTACACACATGAACAGATGTTATTGAACGACCGATATTTTTTTCTTCAAACTGGAACCATTAAACAAAAATTGACTGAAATTTGAAGATAATGCGCTGTAATTTCAATATTTTGATGACTCAAGAAATTCAAACAGTTCCCGCACTTCTTTCAATCTACATTTCTTATTACTTATTGCTGTAGTTCTATTTACCTGCCCAATAATCGAGAAAGAAACTGTCATTCATCGTTGAAAAGGTCAGACGAATGCACTGTATTTGAGGGAACTGGATGCTGTGAGAAAATTCACTGTGGTCGCAAGTAATCTCTAAACAACTGAGAAAAATCTCCACCACTTATTGATAATTAGCTTGGAAAATGTTTTTATGCATTTACACAAAATAATTCGACGATCAAATTTGCTGAATAAAATTGTGTGTGTTACAGGCGAAATTTCTCAGGATACTGAAGACAGTAAATAAAAATAGATTGGCATACCTTGTTTAACAAGAAATTTTTTCTTGTCAGATTTTTTTTGTACTCTTTGCCAAATCTTTAGACAAGGTCATCGCAAGAGTATAGAAAGATTAAACGGATGTTGTTCGCTCAATTTTCAAAAAAAAACAAGCAAAAACCTAATTCTTTTACAATTTTTCCGTATAAAGCTATTCTAAAATTGCTTTCATACATGGGAAAAATTGGCAGCTCACCTGAAATATAATAGAAATTATTCAGTATTAGTGTATTGAAAATTGCGCAGAAATTGATAAAATTTCAGCGTCATTTGACCCTAATCATATCTATTGGATATAATTTGAAAGTTATCATTTAGCAATTCACAGTCATTGTTCGCATTCAAAATGTGCAGTGCCTCATATCACATTTCACTGCTAAATTGCAATCATTATGATTTGTTTAACTAGCAGTTTTATCAACTCCACTAATACGTAGTTCATCGTGCAGGTTCATTAGGAGCTCTTGTTGGCGAAATAAAATATTTGTTCACGTCTATTCAGCAGATTTGTCATTGAATTGTGAATTGTACAACTCTTCGAGCTCCCTTTCTGTATTTTGCTCTGAATTTCCAACTAGCCATGCATGAGAAAGCAATGAAATAAAATTCTTTTCTCCGTATTTTATTCACGACATGCGATATAAAATAAACTCGAGTGCAGAGTGAGATTTTTTTGCATGGTTCCATAGTGAAAAGTTTGCATCCACCATATTAATATGACAGTAAACTACTTATTTTAATACACTTGTCACTGCTACTCCGCCAATTTTGCCAACTCTAATTGCCAAACTCAGGTGTTGCAGGTCTTACAGGTGGAGCAGGAAGGATTTCTCGCCCTTCACTGAGCTTGACGAGGGCCAACAGTTCATAATCCGCACTCGTACTCTCATTTCGGCATCTGCAGATGCGAATTGCGGAGGCCGCTCATTTTAAGCCGGAGCGCCGCAATTAATAAGTTTAAATTTATTCCAATTAGATGCAACGATTGCAACACTGTTCGTGTGCTGAGCCCCCCGGCAAACCCCCTCAGGGGCCGCTCCGGGACACACACAGCCTTGCAGCTCCCAGACAGACACCCTTGGGCGCGGGTGGGGCGGCGGCCGAGCTTTATGGGGTCATATTTGCATTCATTCACATAACTCTTTCGCACATGACGCCATCGGAGGACTCTGTCGGCGGCCCTAGAGCACAGCGAATGCGATTTTTCACCCTGGAAATGCCATTATTCCGCAATTGCCGAGGAAACTTTTCTACCATTATTGCTCCCAACAGCTCAACACATTTCTCGCGATAAATAAGTGCTAGATCAGGACGGTAAATGCTAAATTTCTCCCTGGAATTCAACCGTAAGTCTTACACCCTTCTGAAGTTTGTACACCAGCAAAGATGGGATGAGAATTTTCGGGATTATTGATTCTTAATGGCAAAAATATAAAACAAAATCGGAAGTGCATTTACGACTGAATAAAGTTCTAAAATTTTATGGAATCGTTCGCTTTATGGCAAGAGTCAGATTGCAAAGTGATTGACTCTGAGAGCTGAAACATATACTTTACCACAGTATGACTTATAAGTTTCGATATTTTTTACAGATTAACATAGTTCAGGTGACATAACACTCAATTCTGATGAATTAAAAAGTCTAATTGGAGCTTTGCGAGAGCTGTCAGCTCATCAGGTCAGCTGAGAGTTCAGTCTCTTGGGATTAAAGCTCATGACCGCCGGAAGAGCGACGGGAAAGCAATTGTGCGGGTGTGTGAAAATTGCCGTGCGAAAATCTCCGTGTTTTGAGTTTTCATGTGATGACTCTTGTGCATTGCTCACAACTTTTCTCTGGTGAAAGGAAACTCTTTACGCTACTCACATCCATCAGAGAGCGAGAGAGAGAGTGGGGAGAGAGAGAGAATGGTTTTCGGGTAAAAGCTCTCTACTATAGTATTGATTTTTTCACACGGCTTTTTCCCTTTTATCTGTACATCTGTTTTACAATGTTCCCCCATGAATATTGAATTTCCTCGTGCTCTCACCCAAAGCGAATACCTATTTAACTGTGGCAATGTGGCGAGAGAGAGAGAGCGCCGAGAGAGACGTGGACAATATTGTTCTATACAAACATTTTTGTAAATTCTAATCCAGCAGATTTGCATTTATGGAATTTTTTATTCCCATCCTATTTCTCCCTATGGCATTTTCTCTTTCGACATTTCAATGCAAGAATGGTGGCGCGGAGCTTTGGCGTGTGTTGGGTGAGCAAAAGACACCCATTTTATTGATTTTAATATTAAGGAGCTTGATGTACAACTTTCATGGTGAATGTTGGCTTTTTCTTCTCCGTTTACCGCCTTTTTCTGCACTCTTCGTTATCGCTGTGGGTGGAAAAGTGCATTCCTCCTCGAGGTGGCTGGAATGCCACTGAAGACACTGAAGTTGAGTGGCTGATGTCATTGAGACTTGGAATCGCGCATTTGATCGTCTTCTCTGCTCTTCCTTTCGCCTATGACTGAGAATCCTGCGGAGATATTCACTGTTAGAGCATTTCATTGGGATTCGTTGACATGGTCATAAATCTATTCGTACAATAAGAAACGAATATCACCAAATCTGTGTCCATAACCTGCATCACTTTCGCCCCATTTGTGAATGCTCGATTTGTCAAAGGTCCAATTCGAGTAGCTGTATTCAAATTTCAACTATCTCAAATTTCCGGCCATAAACTTGTCTTTTACGACACTCACATTCCGAATTGGTATGCATAAAAATCACAGTTTTCATTAGCTCTAAACGCTTATCATTTCCCGTTCTCCGAGTTGCTCTCGAGACCGCCAGACGAGACTCCTTATCTCGGTTCGTCTCTGCGCGACTCCCAGAAAATGTCATCGCTCAACCAGGCGTCTCCGCTGGCACTTGATGGTCGTCCTGGTGTGGGATTTATTGCTGGGCTCAAGGAGAGGCGGAGACGAGAGCGAGGAAAAAAAAATGATACAGCGCTTGTGATGGGATAAATTCCATGGGACTCTACATCCTAACTACAAGCATGACAACAATCAAATACATGGTCCATGCTTGAGTGAATGAGGAAAAATAAAGACCATAAAGATTTTTATTTGGCCCATGAAATTTCATACGCAGTGTGTGATTTAATTTCTGGAATTTGTCAAACAAGATCATCCTCAATCCGTCCCACTCTCGCATTGGAATGCTAGTAATTGCAATTTTTACTGCCCTTGAAGCAAAACAATAGCGAGACAAGGGTGGAATGGTCATGCGCCTCTGCAATTTATGTGGCACCACTTTGAACTGTGACTCCTGAACTGATATTTGGCGCTCAATCTCATGAAATCCACCATTGCAATCTATTGACGTTCAGAATGTTTTCCGTATATGAAAATTCCTTTCCCGATAGGCAAGCTCATAAATCCCAAGGCGAAGCACTTTCGGCGTTGCATAAGACGTAGAAGCAAAAAAGGCCAGGAATTTGAACAGGCTCCAATATACATTATTTATAAAATATACAAACGCCGATAAGAACTTATTTGGCAAAAGCTCCATCCTTCGGAGCTTCGAAATGCCCGAGGCTTCATGGCATTGTGAAGCATATGCAGCACACTTTGAAAGGCAATTTCCGTTCTTCAGTCATACATTGCAATTGACGAACATTTCATATCCCAATTGCTGCATTGTTAAGGTTATTGCAATAAAAAAAAACTACAATTCGAATTTATGAATCTTATCTTTCTACACAATCTAAAAGTACAATAAATAACTTTCTTTTTTGTAAAGAAAAAAAAACAATTTCTAAATCAAAGCACTAATGATAAAATATCTGATTCCCTCAAATTCACCAGAAGAATTTGTAAAGCTCTTCCATCAGCCTTCCCTTAGCCATAAAAATCTCCCCAATTGACGCACAAAAGTTTGAATATTTTATCACTTTCGTTGAGGTTCTATTGGATTTTTCACAATCCTTTTTCGCCTTTTCACACTTGATATGTGACGTACCCTAGATTTCCTGCCACTCGCCTGAAAAATTAATCTCCTCAATTTAGATTAATGCGATGGAGACGCCGGGTGGGTGCTATGTCCTAAAAAACTGCTGTATATAAAATGCTTTGCACATTTACTCTCTCAGTTACAGTCCTGGGGATTCTTTAGGATGTTCGTTTGCAAACTTTCCGTCATTTTCATTCTTATTTTAGCTTGTGAAAACACTGTCGCAGTTGATTGCAGCAAATTACTTCATTCTGACGGCTCAGACACACCAATCAACGCCTGGGAGTTGCAAAATTTAGGTCTCAGTGAACTCAATGAGTGTCTCTCTTCAATTGGAGCAAAGCCTTTAGATGAGGAATTGGCGAAAAATGTCTGGGATGCCATGAAAAGTGTAAGTGTAAGCTGTTTTACTTCTTTACGTAGTTTAGCCTAATCTTAAGATGTGTTTTGCAGATCTATAAAATCGCCAATGCAATTCCTCGTGAATGCTTCAAAAACATGGGCTACGCTCTCGTGGGCATTCCTCCTGAGGACTTTGACAACATCACAATTGGGGATATTGAAATGGTGGAGGTTTTTGGCCAATACAGAGGCTTCAATCCTGAACAAATGTACGCGATTTTGGAACGAGTGCAAAGCGACTGGACAGAAAAGATCCCGGAAACCTATTCGCAATATGATCTGGAAGCTCTACGGCAAATTCTTTGTGTGATGAACATGTCAGAGATCGAGCGTATCCATGCAGATGCCTACAAAGGAGCAGCTCAGACCATTGGAAGTCTTCAGGATTGCACTCCGGAAGTCATTCAGGGATTTGCAAAGCTTGCTATTCACTCCATGGCTTTCGGACCGCCGGATGGTTGGAGTAAGTTGGACGTGGTCACAATCGGCGCGGTGGTTTCAGGACTGCCTCCTGATCTCTACAGAAGTATTCCCTCTGACAATCTGGCCAAGAAAACGGACAAGGCGAAAAATACAGTACACTCCGATAAGGAAATTGAAGTGAAAACGGAAACTATGTCTGAATCGATGTAGAAGGCAACATTTAATATAATTATTATTGGAAATACAACATGATTGGAAGAGAGGAAAGGGAATGCTTAATTGCGCGTCTCTTAGAAGCTGAACTTTCCGCGAACTTTGAAAAAACCTAGGTTGTTCTTATTGTGAAACACAGCGCCGATGCCCACATAGTTCTCCAAGACAATGGGCGTCTCCTCCAGCTGGCAATTGTAATTTATGTTGGCCGACTCGATGTTGGGCTGTGGGTTGTTGATCAGCTGCACGAGGGCCTCATGGAGATGCTCAACCGAATAGGTCTTTCGATTGGCCTCAATTTCCTCCCGAATGCTGGGCAGAGAGTTGTACTGATCTGTTGGCCATGATGAAGAAAGAGAGTCAGTGAGAGCTTTAATAAGATTTCAAAAATTAGCGTATTTAAGAAAACAGTTAGAGAGACCGTTTGTTATTCTCTATATTTTCTGCATTTTCTCCGCGATGTCAGCAGAGAAAGTCAACGACCTAATTGTGAAGTCTTTCGCATGGTTTATTGCATTTTAATGAGTTTGTATTCACAATGTCTGCACTTTTTCACACGAAACAAAAACAACACGTTCGATCACGTAAGGGAATTATTAATAAAATGTGTTGAAAACAGCACTTTTTCTTTTTTTTCAGTGAAGTTTGGGAAAATCGTTGAGATTAAATTAGCTCTTAAATGTCAATGAACCGTGCGTTTCTGATCGCAATGCGCTTTCAACAGCGACCACTTCAAATTTAGGTCACATTTAGCAGCGGCAAATGCTAGTTCTACAAGCACGTCGTAATTCTTGCTTATATGGAAAAAAAATTTTAACTGTATTAATCCTCAATTGTTCTCTGAATAAAATTTTTTTACAGTGTCAAGAATAATTTTGAGACACTATTGAAACTATTTTTTTCATCTTTATGCTTTTTCTTTTCAATGTTTGCTGATTTAATTATGGAAATAAAAGTGAAAATTTGCCTTTTAAATTGATATTTTTCTAATTAAAAATTATTTTGTAATGCCTCTTTACTTTTTACCTTGATAACCGTGAATTGGATGATTAGTAAATGTCTTCCATGGAATGTCAGTTGCAAAGGGGTTCCAAGACGTCGCTGCTGGAATAGGTTGACCTTTGTTCCACATCAAACGGACCCCAATTTCGTTTCGATCGCTGTAAAATGAGCATAAGACGTGAGTTAGATACAAATGCCAATCATTCTTTCAGATCTTTTGTACATGGCCTGAAAATGTGACAAATCAATCTTCTTCCTCAAATTAATCCCACTGAAGGGGACATTACACTCGCTTGAGGACTTGCTGAGCAAATCCCCACGAAAGAAGGCTGAGACTCCGTTTGAGAGTCCCTCGATTTTCCTTTTAGTCAGCATTAACAAAGAAGTTGAGGATTAATGCAAAGTGACGTCTTTCGGGACGTTTTTTTTCTAACACTTACGGTACAAAAGAGGCTGTTGGATAAGTCAATTTCCCATGAATTATTGTGTCCACGCGATTCATCAAAATCTTCTCCTTCTTCAGGATCCTCAAGGCGATGAAGTCGAACTTGATGACATAGAGAGCCTTGGTTGTCAATATCACAATCCTCTCACGCTCATGATCCCAGTGACTAATCCTGAGTAATCAGAAGAGGTGAGTGAGTCTCATGTCTGATAGTTTTATCTAAATGCGCTTGTCACTCACTCTGTGAGCAGCCAATTGCCCAGAATGTCGCTGTCAAAGGAGGGCTTCAGCAAGATTTCAGTGCAGTCCTTGATGGCCTGCTCGAAGAGGCCATTCCTGAAGCAGAAGAAGTGCCTGGGAGAGCCTATTCGTGGCCTGATGGATTCAGCAGAGACCAAAGCTCGCGGGGCTTCACAGATTGATGCTAAAACAAAAGTTTGTTGTTAATCTTATCGACAATGATGAATCCGCGAGATATGACAAATATACTAGGTATTTCGATTGAGGGGATTTCTCAAGCGAGGTCTCACCTCTGGGTTGTTCCGGAGGACTTGTGGGTGTCGTTGCATCCTTTCCGGTCTGCACTGCAGGCTGGGATGTCGTGTGACTTGAAGGCACCGCCTGTGAATCATCATTGCTGCTAATAGTCAGCGTGGCACCGCGGAATTCGTAGTTGTCCTCCACGGAATCCTCCGCCCTGGGCTCTGAAGGATGCACTTCCTGGCTTCGATACATATCACACTGCTTCACACCTTCGAAAGTCACCACAGAAATACTGTTGACAGTTGATTTCTCCTCTCAACTGGAGGCCGTCTTTTTCTCTTTTGAGCTCTTATCAGAAAATATTGTGTGAATTTTGTTAAACGCGCCTGCGCACTGTAAGATATAATTTCTGTTTTGACGATGATGACATCACGCGACCGTATGACTTGGTCGTTAGAATATTTCCCCGCGCTTTTGGGATATAATGCTAGACTAATTCCAATACAGCGGGACTTTTGTGGTCTGACGTTAATTCTGTGATCCACCAGAGCAAAATTGAATCACTCAGAGGGAATAAGTCTTATGGATGGATTAACATGCTTGAGAGAAGCACGAGAGAATTTATTAGCGGTTTGAGAAGCATTGAAAAATAAATATTTCCCATATCACTGTTTTAAATTAAAACGTTGTCCATATACTTTGCAATTTACTGTGGGGAAACTCTAAAAAGTCATGCATGTATTACTACTTCATACATACATAATACATTATATTATTGAAACAAACTTTCCCCAACAACTATGTAAAAACTTTCCCATATACATAACTTATACGCCCTCAAAACGCTCTTCTGAAAAGTGTAGGAACTCACAAATCATCGATTCTGTGGAAAGCTTGTATGTTCCATTCTAGCAAATTACATACACCGTAGGTTCTCTAATGGCTTTACCGCATCGCTGAATTTTGTTTCATATTCTCTTTTGTCTGATCTTCTCCCGTGATCGATACAGGAAAAAGTCACGTTCATATGCTCGGAAATGGTTAATGTGGTGGTCTTGGGGCAAAAACCTCACATTGGAGAGTCAGGAATCGCAGTTGGGTAAAGAAGTTCAGTTTAGCCAGCTTATTTACACTTGAATGCATGACAGACGATGGGCAGGTGTTTCATATATTCAAGACAGATCGCATAGCTATACATTAACCGAAATAGAATTCATAAGAGCGATGGTGTTTTTCGCCTACGAAACATACTTTTTTATCTACGGTATTATCGTAGACTTTGGAAAAAGTATTTGCCAACACAATTGTCCGCAAAACGTAGGTAATGAGTGAAAATTGAATCATAACAAAAACAGCCTATTCCGTGCTAGAATAATGTAAATTGAAAAACGATGTTAAATTGAAATAATCATTGGATTCCAGTTAAGCGAATAAACTTTAAGTTAAAATTTTGCATAAAAACAGTGTTAAGAAATTATCTCTTTATTTGTTGCACATCCAATGCACATTTTTGTGATTCCAGTGAATATTCAAGGAAAACAACATTATCAGTTTATTTTTGTTCCTATAAATATCTGTCACAACGTCTGTGTCTTGACGCCACCTTTTCAATTAATAATAATTGAAACAACACGAAACTGTGAATTTTGAAAAAATAGAGAAGATTCTGTTCAATACCATTTCCCAAAAAATCAAACAAACATCTTACGTATTGAGTTATGCTTGCATACCACGAGTGTTTGCATGAAATGCCGAAGCACCTGTCTATATTTACTGATTTCTCGCGCTATAGTTTCTATTCCGCTTTTGTGTGTGGAATTGTTGGTCAGAGTGCAGGAAAAGCGTTTGCTTAGCCCTGATGTTTCTCGTTAACTGAAGAGCTCATCTATCACTAGCCAGCCCATCAGAATGCCATAAAAACACCTAATAATGATCTGTAAATGTACAAAATGTATTTTCATAATATTTTGATATAAACGATATTGTAACTTATAATCGACAATGTCATACTTCAGAATCTTATGTTACATCAAATGGTCTTTCATACACATTCGTGAATAAAAATAAATAAATGTGAAAAAACTTAGAAAATAATATAATTACACAATTAATCTGAAATCCATTTAGCACTTGTTGGATTTTTTCTGGGATTCGATTCCAATAAGATTGAATTTTTGCAGGAACATTGTCAATGTATATCTAGGCTTAGAAGACTTTTTATAAATCATTTGACATCCTTTAGGAAGTTAGAAGTTAGATATAATTCAATGCTTATGTATAGATTATGTTAAGCTTTCATCACATTTCATTTGATTCTCCTTCCGCTGCACCAGGCGAGGGCTATTTCGGCATAATGGGCTTTATGGGGCCCAGAGACAGGACGCTGTCCGCCCCGATATTCTGCAGGTTGGAGATGGCTGCATTTGGTGCTCCTTTGAGGGTCACCAGAGGCAGACCGAAGAAGCCATTCGAAACTTTGTTGATATTTCCCAGCGGGATGAAGTTCTTGATGCCCATGCTTAGCAGCTTCATGCGCGTCTGGGCGCTGTTGAGATCCACAATAGGGATGCCCAGATCCTCGCCAGGCATTCTTACAGATCGATGGACGCGTCTCTGGTGGATGATGAGACTCTCCGAAGAGGAGAACATCACTGAGCATTTGGTACACTTGAAGCGGATGTTGCTGTGGTGTCCCTTCTGTGTGTGCCTCTGGAGCGCCTCCTCGGTCAGGAACTTCTTCTGACATCGCACGTCCGGGCAGGATAAGAAGGTGGTGTGTCGGGGTTTTACTCCCGGTTTGGCGGGAATCAAATCCGCCGTCTTCGGGCGGTTTTCCGTGGACGGCGAGGAAGCTGCCGGCTTTGCGGAACTCATCTCCTCCTCTGTCACGTCGATGGTCAACAAGGGAGTTTTCTTTTTGGAAATTATACTCACTGAGCTGTTGAGAGCCAATTTCTGCACCACGCTCTCTGTTTCATCAGCCAATTTGTCTTTCACTGAGTCTGGAGACTTGTCGTTGGCTGCACTCTCCTTGGTCTTGGAGAAGTCAGACTGAGTCACGGTAATCCCCCTGTTGGCCAGGATACTCGCCACGGCCTTCGGACTCTTCTGTCCGGATGGCACAGGGCTGGTTTTGCTGCACTCAGCCTGAGGCAGGGCCACCGCCGATCCACTCTGGACGCTCTCAATCACAGGAACACCCTCCGCTCGTGGTGGCATCGTCACCATTGGCGCGTCTCCCATCAGCTCCTGTCGAGGCTTCTTCGCCGGTGGTTGCTGAAACTGCGAAAGATTTGGCCGGATGGGGATTGGCGCGACTGAGTGGCGCCTGGGAGGTAAATTTGGCCGGGCGCCGCGGAACATTGGCCCCATGCCATGCATCGGAGCCTGCAGCTGTGAGTCCTGCAACATTTGCTGCCCCTGATTGTAGTTCTGCTCCATCACAATACCTCCATTCATCATCATGCCGTTGGACACGGCAAATCTGTATCCCTGAGGCCCTTGTGGTCCATTCAGCATGGGCGGCTGTTGCAGCAATTGCTGCCGGCTGCCCATGTTTGCCATCGGCGGGACGCCTTGAGCTCCGCCAACCCTGTACAACGGAGGCGGATGACGACCACGCATGAAGGGCGGCTGGACGGGCATGACAGGGCGGAACTGGCCATTACGGATCTGCTGCAAGCGCAGCGCAGCCATCTGGCTTCCAGGCGATACTTGCGGATGAATGTCTCTGATCCTTTGGCCGGGGAAATTGCCTATCGGCTCAGGTGATCGGTAATGCATATGATTGGCGGGCATACGCGGCATGGGCGGATGTTGAGACATCGGAAAGCTTTGCGGTGGCATTGGCGGTCCTTGCGGAGGCATATCATGCCCACTTTGTCTCTGATGTTGGAACAAAAGCACCGGATCGGTGAAGTTCATGTGACACACGCGGCAAATATGCCCTAACTTATCAATCGAGATAAATTCATTCGGCCCATTCCACTCAGGCTCCATCAGAGGCTGTTGATTCAGCTCCAACAAGTTCTTCAGGATGTCCGATGCGTCCTCCCTCGACTCGCTGTTGAACTGATCCAGTCCATCCAGGGTGGGACATTCAAAATGAATCTTCTCTGGCGACATCATTTCAACGGGCAGCTCAGGAATGGGTATCAACTCTCTGATCCCTCTGTTCTGCAGTCCTGGCGATCCCGGTGGGCTCTGCTTGATCTCACTTGCCTTCAGGATCTTCTCCCCTCTTCTCTCCGCTGCTATCGTTCGCCTGAACTCATCGCGAATACCATTTAGCCTCTGATCCTCATCATGGTTCATCTGTACGTTGTGGAACTTGAACTTTAACTTCAGGCCGTCTCCTTCGGGTTTCTTCAATACAATATTGGGGAAAGTCTTCTTGCGAGCGCACAAGAACTGTTGCTTGCCCTTCTTCATGAACTCCTGGAACTGTATCTCTCTCTGTGTCAACTGTTTCAGCTTCAGGATGGGCATGGAGACATGCTTGCGATGGTGTTCGAAGAAGTCATAGTGGTGCTTGAAGGTAAGATTGCATGGAATACACTTCCTCTTGGTCCTCTTCGAGATGTGATCGGTTGAAGTGCTGGTCGTTGACCAGCTGTCCGATGAGGCGGATGAGGCTGATTCTGCTGGCGATAGCACAGATTGTGGCAGTTCGAGAATACTACTTGTCTGTTCACACTCTGATGGCGCGGGAATCTCTACCATTACCGGCGCTGTATCCAGCGAAATGACCGGAGTCGGATCTGGTTGCGTTTCCGACTCTATTTCCTGTTCTGTGACACCTCCTATGGACGGTATGTCATCATCCCGGAAGATGTCATCTATTTGTATATCACACAGAACTTCCAGCTCCTCTGCAATGAAAAAAAAAGAACAAAGATTCAGAAAATATGCCGAAACCCACAGAAAAGACAGCTAAAGCTCATTCTCAACCAAGAACCAAAAGACAGTATAGTGAGAAAAATGAAGTGTGCTATTTATAAGTTTGCGCAAATCTAATGTGAAACTCTTTGAACATAAAATACAGTTCAGTTCATGCAAGTACATAACTAAATCAGATAAGGTCCTCATTTCAGGTCAACAACCCCTTAAAGTTTTCCATCAAAGCTCTAAGCCTGGGGAAAACTTGCCATATCACTACGCGCGCTATGTGAAATGGAAACTCCCCCAAATATGGTAATCTTTGCGTCGCCGATTTGGCAGAGAAGATACAGGAAAATATCCATTTTCATTATCTAAATACGCATCGCTACATGAGCAAAGGTTAAGAGTGACTTTCGTGATTACAGAAGCTCTTATTGGTAGTTATATAATTGATGGTATTCACGAAATGAAAATCCGGTTAAAAACTGAATTTTTGACGATTTTTTAGTCTGATATATTAAATAAAGTTTAATAACATTTTGCGGGATAGAAGGAGCAAAAAGTTTTTAAGGGTATGAAATCTTTATAAGAGGCGTGGAGTAAACTCCTGGAAAGTCCGATCAAATAATTCCCCGCCCATTTGAATGCTCCACCCCCTTGTTGTCTGTGCGTTGTAATCACGATTGACTATAGCCAGTAATCACTTATTATTTGTGACCCGAAAAGGAAACTCTGAACCGCATGATATCCTCAAAACATACAAAATTTCCACATCGCCACTGCGCAAGTATCGCATCTTGTCAAAGGATAAATTTCTCCTGTTGATAGGATGTTGTCATATAAATAATCTTGCCTGCACAAAAAGATGAATATTATTCACAAATTAATTGATGACATACAGCATAATACGGATAATAGAGAAGGTATTTAAATTACCGCTTGGCTTGCAGGGACACGAGAGTATATATTGTTGCAGGGCTAGAATTGCTAAAAAGGGTGAGGAGTGGGTGGGAATTAAGCAATACAGATAGAGTTGGCACGTGCTGCATAATTAGCGTCAAAACATAAACAAGAAACATGGATTTAGGTTCTTGCATTTACCTGACTCAATCATTGAGTTGAAACCTTTCAGAGCTTTTCACGATGGATATGAACGAGCTTTCAAATTGAGGGATCCCTGACGATCTGCTTTAATTACCTGCTGTTATATCTTGCATGGTATTCTTCTCAAAACGTCACACAATTTTCCTCTGGCTTCAGCCGCGCCAAAAGCGCATCATCCGCGGTTCGGAGTATAATGTGCAGATCCGATATGATTGAGTGTTGCTTGTGAGATATTTGCTCGTGCGACGTCCTCGATGTTTGCACGGGAGCAAGAACTTGTCGGCACAATGTGTGTGTATGCGAGTGTTTGGCTTTCTCCCTCGGACAGCGACACCCCTCAAACAAGTGCTCACGCCTAGGAATCTCCTGCGATACTGACGAGACTCGGTATCTCCGCTCAGTGTTCAACGCCGTACACTGTAAAAATTCCTACTTTGCGCTCTCTCTCTCGGTTTTCTCTCTCACGATTTCGCTGGCGCGAGAGCGGCAACACATGCGATGCTATGAAGTAAACGAAATCTGATGCAAGAATGATGGGGAGAGAGAGAGACGAAGAGAATCGTTGTTCACAAACTGTGAGATACGTTTCGTCTCGTTTAGGATCTCTTAGCTACTGAGGGCAACTGAAAGTGATTCTCAGCGACGCTTTCTGGAAATGCTACCAAACACAACTGCGAGAGTGGGGATACTCACTGAACGAGAAACTCCGAAGATACCCCGAAGTGTAACTACTACGCTCTGTTGGACTACCAATACCCGAGGTCTATGTTTTATCCTAGAAGTAGATAATTAAGGACATTCTGTGTGTATTTCTTTATTTACGATCTCTTTAATTTCTTTTAAAATCACAGCTCGTGACACAACTGATCAATTCAGCACTACCCAGATATACTGTATCGACTTCGCATAAATTAGTATGTTCATTAATGCTAAATTATCGCTCTTGTGTACACCTTTTGGCATAGAGCTCAACCTCAATGCTGGCTCAGCGTGCCAATTTTACACATATCTATGACGCTCGACTTGGCGAACGATTCCAAGTCCGAAGTAGAAAGTGAGCTGAGAAAATTCAACCAAATAATCAAAGTGTATTCATTCCGCGGAAAATTTGCTCTTTCTGCTTATGTTTTGGACGAACGTTTTTAACTTGGAAAAATACCTGCAATACAAAAAACTCCACACGTTTCAGATTGCAAAATCATCAACACGAACAGCGTGTGAAGCGAAAAGGGAGGAAATTTCACGTCATTTCACAAGACAACGTGTGGGATAAGACATTGAGAAGAGATGTAAAAGATGTTTTCTACATAACCTGAGAGTTGCTATTACTTTTGCCTCAGTTTATTGCGGATGAATAAGAAACACCTTTCCGCTGTAATATTTGTTTCGATCTTCTCATAATATAATACCTTTGTATATTTTTCAACTCAGTGTTTAATTTTTAATGGTAAAGTTAGAAAATTGTCCTCCTCATTCTCTATTGCGTCAGAAATCGTGAGAAATATCCCTTATGGTGTTCGCAAGGCATTTCTTATTGCGATGCTCCACTTAAATTGGCTGATTTACAGAAAGAAGGTCGCAATATTGATTACAAAGGAAATTAATATTTAATGATTCTCGTCCTTGATTTACACTGTATTGAGTTGTCTATTTCAGTGCAGGAAATTCTCGCTTATTGGCTAAGGCGTGAGAAAACCTGCAGTCATTTCAACTCATGCAAATATTGTGGAATGAAGAAATTACTGCGAAGTTCCGCCCATGCGTAAGATCCGCCCACAAATTGGTGCATTAATTCAAGTTACTCCAAACTATGACAGCAAATTTTTTTTAACTATGTTCACTCACAAAATTCACCAAACAATTGATGCTTTTTTGTATCTAATATTTTAATGATATTTTCGATGAATGCGAAATGTTGTTTCGGTGGACCAAATATGAAAAGCGAATCTTTGATGTGAATAATCAACCAACAATACAGAGCAAATATAATTAGAGTTGATATCTGTGTGGTTAATGTTAAGCTTCAATATTTATTGATATTTATTCATCAGTTTAAATGTGTGTTGTCTAAACAAAAGTAAATATTATTCCATGCATTTGGCTACTATCTAGATCTAGACAAAAATTCTTATCTAAAACAGCGAAAACAGCTCAACATAAAAGATTATTTACTAATTTCCAGGCCAGACGCGGAGTAATTTCGTATCTAGATTGAGGCTCTTAATTAAATTTAGACACATTTTACTTACTCGTATTCAGATGCAAGAGGTTTATTCTCGTCAAATTTCGAATATGCAAGCAAAGCGATTGGCAATCCATTTCCCAAATAAATTACTAATTATCAGCATTATTGCTTTATTATGCACGTAATGAGCAGATAATATAGAAGGTTCAATAAAATTTCTTTACAAATCATTGATTTCGGTATTCGAAAATTGAACTGTATTTTTTATTTAAATTTCATAATGGCAGTAAACCACAAATGAACGAGTATTTCCATTTTCCCCTCTTTTTCTGATTTCCATTCAGTCTCTTGAGCCACTTGAGTGCCTTTTATCTCTACGGAAATGAAATAAACCACAACCCCTCATATTCAGAAACAACGTGCACTCTTCCATTCCTACACTTAAAAGTTTTTCAAATGCGTCGTTGAAATACTTTAAGTTGAAAACTCAGCGGGAAATCGAGTAAAGGATTGTGAAATATGTGTTGAAAATTGAGAAACAGATGGCATTTTTATTTCGTTATTGGATATATAATAAAAAATAACACAATAGACAGAGAGTAAAAATTAACAGACGTAAAAAAAACAACTTTTGACTTACTTTGCCTGAAATTGTAATTTAGATATTCATACGTATGTAAGAAAATTTAGATCATATATTTTTTTGTCTAGATAGGATCTCTCTTTCACCGAGTATTGTGAAAAAATAACCTTTGTTTCGTCTAATATTTTTATTTCCAACTCGACAATTTCTTATCAAAATTCACGAGAAACAAACAAAGATAAGATTATGACTTCTAGCGAACTTCAAAAATTCCTTTTCTAACTATTTCTCCCATTTGTTTCGCTTTCGACACAACTTATCGCTTTGTTGTGATAATTTCCAGTGAATTTCCTTTATTTAACCCGCGAGGTCAGAGCTACAGATATTCAAGGAAGCTTTCGAAGAACGAATCACGCGTAATTGCGCGGCCCTCATTAATCTGCTCGCCAGCGCGGTTCAAGTTATTTACTTTGCTCAACTCGCAAACGCCAGCGCGGCGTCCCCTATTCGGCGCGAGAATGGACTCGCCGAGCAGTTTCAACATTGATCGCATTCGTGTTTATGTTCATACGTTGGATATAGCAGCACAGCTCGAGTTGGCTTTCGAGCGGAAACTCTGAACTCTCGCCAACCGCTCGAGTGAGCGAGAGAGTCGTAGCCACCGCGCTCGTCTCGCCGGGGGTTATTCACATACCATTCCGCCTAACCGTGCCTGACGTGCTCTCTGCTGGTGCCACATCATCAAGGTAATGGGATATGTTCGACGCAGATGTCTATCATCTGCTCAAGTCCCTTCGAGCTCTCTCTGTCGCCTCGGCAGCCAAATGCTGCTCAGATGACCTGTTTTCTGAGAACGGAGGCTTTAGGTGGCGTGAGGAGAAAAATACTCAAAGGCGCACACATACAGAATACTTAGGATTTTATGACCAAGGTCTGTAATGGCGATTGAATTTTAGGAAAGCAACGGTAGGGACTGTAGTTATCGGTTCGAAATATATGATCAGGCAAATACCTGCTGATCCTACCGGCTTTACGAGGTAGTGCTTTCTTATGCCTAGGCGATATTTATTTTCGACCCTATTTGAATAAATTTTTGTTATTCTAAAAACACTTAACAATGCCGATGTTAAGATAATGAAAATTAGTATTTTCTAAGTTGATTCCAAAAGTGATGATCTGCATTTTTTATTTAAATAAATAAAACAGTTAGAAAATCAAAAATAAATTTTAATTCAATTTTTATATTATGAATAAAGCACAAATGTTTTTGATTAAAGAAAATATTTCCTAATTTTAATTTCACAAGTATTAAAATTTTTGTTTACAGATAGATGAATTGTGCTTATAAATACAATTATTGATTTTCAATTCTATAAACAAAAGGAAAGCTTTTAAAGAAATATGACTTCATTTGAACTTCATATAAAAAACATACGCGCATACAGCTTAATTGTAACGACATTAAATATGTACATATTTTCTCCAGGTGTTTTTGCATACACGGAGAAATACTGAGGGGTGAAAAAGGGAACATGTCAGGAAAAGACATATCAATTTCTCTTGGGAATGGAAACATAGGGACAATATTTGCGTCGTTTTTTTACAAAGATAAATAAATAATATACCTAATCGCTATTTGTGTACTGAGGGGCCAAAAAAAATACGGGGATAAATATTTGGGGAGTATTTCTTTGCGTATCGTTAGATTTATTATTATTACAATATTTATTTTCACAATGGCTTTGAAACTTGTTGACTGAACTCGGCATTCTCGATCCAAAGAAAAACGTTTCAGGCAAAATTATACGAAGGTCAACACATGCACTTTGCTAAACTCAGACATCAACAGATACACGGAAAACTTGTTTACGGCTCAATTTGATAGGAAAGGGAAAAGGTAGACTTTGTAATAAGCTCAATATGTACTTCTTTCTCACCCTACCTCTTAATTTTAACCCCCTTGATACAAGTGTTGAGTTTTTATAGGCGCAAAGCAGAAGTATTTTTTTTGGAGGAAAATAGAATTATAACAAATTCATGCAAATTCATAACATAAGCTGATCAGAAATTTCTGAGACGTAGTTTTCGTACTTCGAGGACTCAAACCATAGCAATAGACTATAGAATATTTAAGGTTAGAACAGCTAACAATACAATATTCAGTTTTTCTTTTTTCAACTACTAATGCTCACACAGAACAGATGCATACACATTGGCTACATTAGTTTAATGAAAGAATTCATGTTTTTCGCATCTAAGTTTCCCCTAATTGTTTTCCATCAAGACTTGCTGGTATTTTTTGTCAGCTTAATTCAAGGCTTCATCGTCAATCAAGTAAATTGTTTTATCTTCCCACAGTAATAGTACATCTCAACTCCCCCTTTAGCACATACTGAAGATGAACAGATTCTCTTAGTGTTAATTTCTAGGGTGACTCAAGACATAGGGTTTTTAGATGTGAATCGAATGGATTTATGGGGTGAAAAAGTAATATCTGTGATGGACATATAATGGACATCTGCGACACGAGATCTGCAATTGAATTTGGGGGAATTTGTTCAATGAAATGTCTCATTTTACGCTAAATTTAATAAAAGTATAGATTATTTTATTAATTTCGCCATCCAATCATTGAAACGTGCATGTATCGTGTCGGCAAACTTAATAATGTTGTGTGGTATTTTCAACCTTAAAATGCTTCACTGTACATACACTGATTGGTAACTTGGTCGCTGTGTAGCCATTTGAAAGTCAATTATCAGGTCAATGATTTACTTGAGGTAAATTATATTGATAAAGTATATAATTGTGGGTTTTCCCAAAAAGTTTAGTAAGAAGTTTTAAAACTTATTGTTCTCACACTGATTGAGAAGTCTTTCAATTTTATCATGAATAATTCAGGCGTAGTAATTGATATATTTTAAAGTGACAGCTAAGCTTGATCGATGAATAACAT